TCCCTAATGATAACAACATTTAATTATTAAATATTAATCAAATCATCAAACAGTCCTTAATCTCATCTGCCAATAGATAGAGAAAGCTTTTTGTACCTAAGCCAGCTGCAAGGGTAAGTTGAAATAACATTCTCTGGAAGGACTGTTTGGTGTACCCAAAATAGACATGAACATCTTTTAAAAGATCTTCAAAATATATTCCTTACATCAGCGTCAATGAAAAAGGCAGCCAAACACACCTACCAACACCTATTCGTGGAAAGAATAAGACAAGCTTCTGATTTCCTTTGTGGCATTTCGAGATGCCCAAATAGTCCTTTTTTTTTTTTTTTTTACAGCGGAAAAAAAAAAAAACACTTTTTGAGCGAAAGGATTATATAATTTAACAGAGTTAAATTTTAAAAATGAATCGGTAATTTTATATTTTGAAGGGTTAAGGCTAAGCAGTTTTCATTATGAGAGTTGAAATTGAGGTTTGTAAAACAACTTTTATTAGGGCAATCACATTCTTTATGTATGTTTATAATTTGGGTCGTGTTATTATCACAAATAAAAAGATTTTTAATATTTCAATAACGATTTATCTTTTTAAGAGAACAGTAAATATAACGAACGCCGAAAATAACTATCAGTGGGATAACTAATTAACAACTATTAAAATAATTTAATACCATACATGATGCGGTGATATTATCCAAAAAAAAATCTTAGCTTGACTATTTAATTTATTATTTTAATACAAAAATATGGCCCAATCGTCCATTTGCAGGTCTTTAATTTATTATTAGACTAAAACAAGCTAATTATAATTGGTGTTTAATGCTTAATTGTGGAAAATTATTGCCAAAAAAGAAAAAAAGCAAACAAGATACTCAAAAAGTTTCTACGTTTTACTTCTTTTCCTTTCTTTTTCTTGACATAAGGTGGTAATTAGCTAAAAATAATTAATGTTAACATGCAAAATTAAGGCTTAACATCAAAGTTTTTGCTGCTTTTCAAATAACAATTATATCAATTTAGTGTGTATAGGAATACAAATATTATTTCAGCTCTTGAATACTATCAAAGCCTGATTAATAGTTTCAATTTTTTTTTATTTTTGTAATTTTGCAAATTATTTAAAAATGATGATTCTCCCGGGATATTTCAGCAGAATTTTTTTTTTCTGAATTAGAGTTTTTCTTTCTCACTATAATTAGGTGTTGAGAGTTGCCATGATTATGACTTGATAATATCTTGAATTTCTGGCTCGGAAAGCGACTAGATTTACATGAATTTAGACTGAGTTTGAAGATCAGCATCGGTTCATAAAGGGACGCATTTCCCTGCTGGGATTTTCTCCATTCATGAAAATTGAACACTCGAATTTCTTATTTAAGAGACTGAGTCCTTTTCACTTAGACTAGCTCCATCAAGTCTTTTTTTTTTTTTTTTTTTTGTCGTTTTCTTTTTTTTTTTGAACAAAATTAACATTTTTTTTTTTTTTTTTTTTTTGAACAAAATTAACAAATTGTTTTGTTTTAATAATGAAAAATGGTATTTAAAAAGAAAAAAAAATTCTTTTAGGAAATTGAAAATTAAATTATTAGTATAATGGTCGTATTTGGCAATAATTTTTTAAAAACGGTAGTATTTGGTAACATAGCGTTTGAATTAACTTTTAAAGGTTAAAATACCGTTTTATAAAAGCTTAACCCATATTGCGTTTAGTTTTTAACGTTTTATGAAAAATTACTCTAGTTAGCAACTCAAACAGTTAAATACTACTAAAATAGATGATAACTATCAAAACAATTAATTTTGCTGAACATGTCCAATATCATAGCTCTAGGTTTTAAACCTCTCACCTTATATGGTTAAATTTACTTGAAAATACAGTGCATTCTCGCTAGACAGTTGATATAATTTCTCATTTTTATTGAATTAGAAAAAAATCTTTGCAAAACCTTTATATATATAAAAAAAAATCTTATTTTCCCCTCTTCTCTCTTCAGAAAAAGAAATTAATTAACTATGTCTGATTCATGGACTAATAAATTATTTTGCTGTCTGAACGAAAAAAGACCAATGGTCAGAACACAGACTGTGTTAGATTTTGCTTTCATTTTTCTAATCAATCTGGTTATTATCTTTGTGCATATTTTAAGACCTAATAGTATAATATTGCTTTGTAGTCTCCAGCTGACCGTTCCCTGTCTTTCTGCTACTCTACATTTCAATAATCAGAAATAATTAATGATTCTAGAATACTTAATCCACATAATTCTTTTTGGTCAAATGATGCCTCATCTAAAATAATTTGATGTTCTATTTCTTTTATTATTTCAGTTAGAATATTTTATTTTCTTAAAAAAAGGTTTCAAGTACATGAAATTTTTTAAAATAGTTAATATACAAGTTAGGATTTTTTTTTTTAATTAGTTCAGTCCGTTTGGTATAATTAAATTCAAAATGTGAAATTCATTATAAATGAATTTTAGATAAAAATTTATTAGGAAATGAATTTTTTTTATGTTTGGTATGTTTAACTTCAAATGTATAATTCAATTGAATTTTATATAATCATATCTGTAATAAATTTAAAATTAAACATTTATTTATTTTTATTTTCTAAAATACTCTTGACATATTAATTTAAGAAAAATAGGAGGACGTATAGTTTTATCATAAAAATTTTGCTTGTTTGGCCTTGTGGAATTCATTTGTAAATTCCTCACATTTTTGTAGAAATTTAATTTATTATGTTCCACTCCATATAATTGATTCTGTAAAATTAAAATCTTATTTTTTTTATTCAAAAGATAAAATTTTAAATTTGCAAATGAATTTCACAACATTTTATAGAATTCAGTTATTCTAATACGGGTAAGAATATTTTATTTTTTTTAAGTGCGTCAAATTTTCAATCATAACTTATATAAATAACTAATTGGATTTAAAAAAAAAAAAGATTGGATCAATTTTATCCGTTGTCTCTCATTTTAGTATTAATGTACTTTATCATACTTAATTTTAAATTGTAATAAAAAATATCCGAACTTCATCGATATAATATTAAAATATCTCTTAACTGAATCTATAGGTTGTGGTTCAGTTGACAATACAGACTAGATATATGAAAAGAGCTCTCGAATTTGATCCCCACTAAACACACTTGCAGGGAGAGGCGAATGGCCTTAAATATGACTAAATCCTAAGTCAAATTAGGCGATTCCTAATAAAAAGAGGTTCGGATGGCAATGATTTAAAAAAATATAATAAATACAGAGAAAAATCTCAATTTTTATTAATTAAAAAAAAACTGGATTATAATAGATGGTAATAGCGCAAATAAGTAAATTTTCTAACTAAACAAAATTTATAAACACTTCTTAATTTAGAAATTGCAATTAGGAAATGCAATTCCCAGTGAAAAATAGTTAAGAAAGAAACTGTTTGGAGTTCAATTTTTATTATTATTTAATACTAAGCTAAGGAGAGCCGATAAAAATATCCCCGTTTTATTCTAGTGAGCAATACAAGTTCAATAATTGGACAGTCTTGTCACAAACCCATTATTCCTCTATTGCCCCACTACTCACTGTTACTCCTCCTCTCTTTTTTTTCATTAATATATTAACATTTAAATATATTTCGTAATTTTTTGTCACCTAAAGAACAGGTTAGATAATAAGATTTTTGTAATTTTCCTTCTCTCATCCATAATAAAATTTATGTATTTTATTACATCAAAAGATAAAAGAAATACTTTGGAAAATAAAACATTCAACAATATTATCTCGTAATAAAAGGAATTATGATTTTTAAAATAAATAACATAACAATTACATCAATTTTTTTCCCTTAATCTATTCAGCTAATTCAAATATTGTTCGTTCCGCTTCTTAACTGGGATTTTGTCTATTCACAAAGATCAAATACTCACGTCTCCTTTAGGAGAAAGTGAGCTAAAGTTTTGTTCGGTTTTTAAGCTTGCTTTTAATATTTTGATCATGTCAAAACTTTATATTTATTGAAAATGAGCATTAAGCAGTTTAAACTGTAAAATCAAAAAACTATATCAAATTATCAATTTTGAATGATTTAATATGTTTTCTAAAAAAAGAAAAGGTTCAATATGTTTTACAATTTGATAAATCTCTTTGAAAACAATTTGGTTTCATTTTAAACCGTTTAAAACCCAACCAAAATAGATATTAATAGGATAGAAATTAGACCACATTATTTTTTTTCTTGATGTTATCTTATACATTATGTATGAATTCATTAAAACGTTGAATTATAACTAAAATGATTTATTATTATTATTATTATTATTATTATTATTATTATGTTTCGACACAATGAACTTTTATTATTGATATTTTAAGATGTGATTATGTTGCTGATTTAATCATTATAATAGAATTTTAATAGAATTTTTTTATCAAACATCTAAGTGCTTTAAAAAAATTAATTAAATTTTTTCGGCGATCATAGTTACGTTACTTCTCCCAAATTTAGTTAATTAAAAATTAGCGTATTTTTTTATTATTTAAGTTAAATAGATAATTAAATAATTATTTTATTATTAAATAACTAATAATTAATAAAATAGTTAATAATTATTAAAATAATTAATATTAGCCAAAAATCTTAAATCATTCCTACTTGTACCACCTCGGTTGATATGATGGCATCTATTTTTCACAGCTCTATAGGATTAGAAAAAACAAAAGAAGAAGACCAAGTCAAGTGTTTAACTGTTCAGACATCACCATTCACCACTAAAAATTTAATCCAATTGAAAAAAAAAAGGTAAAAAAAAAAAAAAACTTATATATGACAGGGCATTATCAAATTAACTGTAAATAAAATAAAAATTTAACCCCAAAAATAGACCACGTGGCACTAATCGTTAGATCGCCGCGCCCTTTAGAACCGTTGTCCTTTCACTAGCAAAAAAATAAAAATAAAAATAATAATAATAAAAAAACACTCTCTCTCCCTTCCTTATGTGCGTTCTCTCTCTAAAAAACTTTCCATTTCAGTTTCTCTCTCTTAAAACACTCTCTCTTTCATGTATTTTATAAATTGTGATATCATTATGTTGTATGATCTCTCTCTTCTTATTCTTCTTCTTCAACAATTTTTCTCTTTACACTTTGCATTTTCTTTCTTTTTTCTTTCTTTCTGTACAGAGATAGAAATATAAAACAAAGTTAGGGTTTTGTTTTCTCTCTCTCACTTTGACAAACAACAGAAACAGAAACAGAAACGCCATTTCATAAATATACATACAGCTTCATAGGCAAGTTTCTTTCGCTTACCTTTCACCATTTCAATTTTACATCTCTCATTTTCTCTAAATAGGTTTTGTCTCTATTTGATTTCTCTCTTCTTCTTTTCTTTTTTTTTTTTTTTTAAATTTAAATTGTGAAATTGTAGATGTTATTATTTAATTTTGACTTTTGTAAATGTTATCAGGTGATATGAATTGAGACTGTATCGATCAGAATCTTCAATTAGGCGTAGTTTTGCTTTTATTTTTATTTTTGTTCCTTTTGTCTTTCATTTTTTCCCCTTTATTTTTTTATTTTTTGGTATTAGTTTGAAATTGAATTTAGGGTTCGGATTCCGATTATTTATTTTTTTAAGGATCGAAGAGGGATTTTTGGGTAATTATGTGAAATTAAAGGATGATTATTCATTATCATTATTTATAGGTGGTGATTCTGTGAGTGTGGTGGTGGTGGTTGTGTGAGTTGGGGTAAGGGATTGTGTGAGGATGACAGATTTTCAACCTTTACAACAAAAACCTGAATCTACAGATGATGCCCGAACTGAATTTGAGAGGGGATTGGAGGAATTGATGCGTGGCCATTTGGATGATTGTATGTCATTTGCATCATGTAGTTCAACTCGTAATCCAGATGATGAGGATGATGAGGGGGATCAGCTTGTCCGTAGAAGACGTAGGTCTGATCTTGAGGGTGATGACTTGGCTGAGTCATCAGCTGCAAGGAGGCGTCACTCTCGCATTCTAAGCCAATGGGCTGCTCGCCAGGCACAGGAGATGATAACTACACTTGAGAGGAGGAATCGAGAGTCAGAGTTGATGGCACTTGCAGGTTTGCACACTGTTTCAATGCTTGATTCCTCATTTTTGAGGGAGTCACAGTCGCCCACTTCAAGAAGACAGGGGGCAGTTGAGCGGCCTAGTACTCAGGCTTCTGCAATTTTGCAAATGTGGCGGGAGTTGGAGGATGAGCATTTGTTGAATAGGGCACGAGAGAGAGTGAGGGTCAGATTGAGACAGCAAAGGAGTGTGGAGTCCAATACGAATTTGTCAAGTACAAACATGTCAGAGAGTCGAGGCAGTGAGAATCAGGGAAGTTTGGGGGATGCAAGTGAAAGTGAGAATGAGTTTGGACCTTGGTCACATGGGAGGCAAGGGTCACAAAATGAGCATGGTGATAACAATGCATCTAGTAGGGAGCAATCTCCTGACCTTGGTGAAGTTGAGAGGGAGAGGGTGACCTGACCTTGGTGAAGTTGAGAGGGAGAGGGTGAGGCAGATTGTCCGCGGGTGGATGGAGAGTGGCATTAGTGATCATACATCTAATATATCCCAAAGGAATGGCAGTTCTAGAGGGGAATGGCTTGGTGAAACAGAACGTGAAAGGGTTAGAATTGTTAGGGAGTGGGTGCAGATGGCAAGTCAGCATCGAGGAGGTCGTGGAGGACGGAGAGAAGATCATGTTGCTGGAGCAGACGCACAAGGTGACAGAGCTCGTGATGGACCAGCTGCTGACCATGATGAAGGACAACCAGAGCATATTCGTAGAGACATGCTGAGGCTACGTGGAAGACAAGCTCTTCTTGACCTACTTGTCAGGATTGAGCGGGAAAGGCAGAGGGAACTTCAGGGATTGTTGGAGCATCGAGCTGTTTCTGATTTTGCCCATCGTAACCGCATACAGGTTGGTCCTTTAACATAATGCTTTTGTCATGGTAATATCTCTTATCAAGCTCAGGTCCTTGGTAGTTTGAATAATATGAAACCGTGAACTGCACAGTTTCTTCTTTGAGAAAAAAAATTCATTGAGTATGATATGCCTGTCTATAAATATTTGTTGGATGCAAATGACATAATTTTTCCATTGAACCCAATTATTTGTGAAGAATCCCTCAACTAACAAACTCATATAAGATTCCTTGATGTAACTATTTGGATACAGAGTACTGTATGGTATTTTTCAGAGGGAGAAATAAAGTACATTGTGTGCATAGTGGACGACATTTCAGTTGGAATTCTGGGCTTCTTAAACCTGTTTTGAGCTCAATTTATTTATCTGGCATACATTTTATCGGCGTCCTATTCCTTAAGAGAGTGATGCTTTTTAACATTGCATATAGCCGTATCAATTGCCTCGAAAATAGTTGCCATCTTCTGTCAGATTGCATGTGTTCCACCAGCCCCCTGCTAATGATTATAAGATTCTTGTGGGCTAATGATTATAGTATCTTCAGGTTTATGGTCGAAACCTTTTATCTTCAACAAAGTAAATGATAGTATTTTAGAATTGCAAATTTGATGGTTGAAAACTCTCCCTTCTGATCATTAAAATTGTTAAGGCTATCAATGGTTTGAGTGCTAAAATATAATATTTTTCCAGTCATTACTGAGAGGTAGATTTTTGCGGAATGAAAGACCAGTTGAAGAGGAGAGACCGCCTTCAATGGCTGCTAGTGAACTAGTTCAATTGAGACAACGTCACACTGTTTCTGGATTAAGGTAAGCATTTGCTTTCTTTTCATGACACAAGCCTTTAGAATTCTCTTGAACATTCTTGTTATTTTGTTCGAATTTCTGCTTTCTTGGATTTTATCATTATGTGGTGAAAGGTGTAAGTGCTGGGAGTTTTGGTGTGCCAAATATAATTCAAATGTGCATATGCAGCTGCTGGATTAAATATATTAAATAATATTATATATATTATAGTATATATATATTATATAATATATATATATATACTGGTTCATTTGGCAATCTAAGGACAAGAAAACACATCCAATCGTTATATATATACTGTTCATTTGCAATCTAGACAAGAAAACACATCCAACGTTTGGCCTTTTTCTTTCTCTTTCAGGGAAGGGTTCCGCTCTAGGTTGGAAACTATTGTTCGTGGTCAAGTAAGCGGCCATTCTGATAGCACTCCTGATGATAATGTCAATGATGTTAGAAATGATCAAAGTCAAACAAACACTTCACAGGATATCCAACAGGAAGAAAATGAGCAATCACAACCTAGGAGTCGAGAAATTGACATCCATCTGCATTCTGATCAAACAGACAACTCACAAAGCAACACAGCTGCAAATAACATAAATTGGCAAGAAACTGTTAATCAAAGAGAGGATTGGCAAGGAGAAATAGCAGATGATGAACGGCAAAACTGGCAACAATCAGATTATAGTCAGTTCAATGAATGGAGAAATGGTGATGCAGAACCAATGGATGCCAATTGGCAAGAGAATTCTGTAAATGACTGGCCTCAGGAAACTACTGGAAATCTTCACAGTGAACAAAATCATCCACAAGAAGCTGCTGTAAATTGGCACGAGAATGGCACGCGGGAAGCTGAAAATTGGACAGAGGGGCCTTCTGACCCACCAAGAATGCGACGTGCTGTTCCAGTGCGAAGATTTAATAGATTTCACCCACCTGATGATGAGAATGTATATAGTATGGAACTAAGGGAACTTCTAAGCAGGTATTTGATAATGATGGATCTCGGTCTTGATTTTTGTAATAATTAACTCAGATTATTAAAATGTTGAAATTTTTTTCTTCACCTTGTAGGAGAAGTGTATCTAATCTTCTTCGCAGTGGTTTCCGTGAAAGTCTGGACCAATTAATACAGTCATATGTGGAAAGGCAAGGCCGTGCTCCCATTGACTGGGATCTGCACAGAAACTTGCCCACCCCAACTCCCAGTTCACCAGAGCGAGATGAGGAGCAGCAGAGAGAAGAACAAAATGAAGATCAGCATAATGCTAGGCGTTCAATGGTTCTGCCATCTCCACCTGTGCCCCCACCTCAGCCACTCTGGCACCAGGATTTGCATCATACTAGCTGGTCTCGCCATAGCATGCATCGATCAGAACTTGTGAGTCATGTTTCCACCATAAAGCTTGGAACAATTTATTGTATTGGTTTTCTTCCTTTTCAACATCGTGTGAGTTCTGCAATATGAATATGGATATTGATTGGCACAGGAGTGGGAGATGATTAACGACTTGAGAGCAGACATGGCAAGACTTCAGCAAGGAATGAGCCACATGCAGAGGATGTTAGAGGCTTGCATGGACATGCAACTTGAGCTACAGCGCTCTGTCAGACAGGAAGTGTCTGCAGCTCTAAATCGATCAGCTGGTGAAAAAGGTTTGGAGATTTGGTGGTTTCCACCATTTGGCCATTCGGTTCCTTTTAGTTAGAGTTATGAGGTTTTGAGGATTATTTTCGTTCTAATTTTGATCATTCACCTTAAACCGTGCCATTGTTTTACAGGCTTGGGTGCCGAGTCATCTGAAGATGGATATAAATGGGGTCATGTAAGGAAAGGAACATGTTGCGTTTGTTGTGATAGCCATATTGATTCTTTACTGTACAGGTATCCCTCATTCTATCTTAACAAGGAGTGCATAATTGAATTGAATGGTATTTTGTTTTACTGATTAGTTTTTGTTCAAAATAAATATTATGCAGATGCGGTCACATGTGCACTTGTTCAAAATGTGCAAATGAATTAGTCCGAGGAGGTGGAAAGTGCCCATTGTGTCGAGCACCGATCATTGAAGTGATCCGAGCATACTCCATACTGTAGAGTGATCCAGATGAGATGGAGGGAAGCGAGAAGTTCCTCAGGATCTTATTTGTAGAGTGTCTAGTTGTTGCCAACAGTTTTTCTGATTATATGTGGGAATGTTATGCAATGTATAATTGGATTAACAAACGGCACCTCAATTCTTCATTCTTCCGTAAATAAAATGATGTTTTGTTAGAATATTTTTTACTTCATTCCCCTTTACCAATCACTAGTACAAGAAAGATAAAGGTAAGCATTATCTTTCCTCTCATAAGCATTTTTTTTTTTTTTTCCAATCTTCCAATTAAATCATCCATTTCAAAAGATTAAAGTGGACCAAGCTTGGATTCTGGGTGCTGAACGAGCTTTAGATTTGATCTCTCTGAAAACATTATCTTAGATCAGCTTTTTGATTGCAAGTAACATTCTAAATGGTTTAAAGGCTCGTTAGGATGTTTTCCAATGACTTGCTCTGAGGAGGAAACGATTAAAGAACCACAGAATCAATCAAACGGGAGAAAATTAAGGAACTCCTATTTAGAAATTCAATTAATTTTGAAACCGAATAAACAAACTAACATCAAATTTAATTGAAAAAGACAAAGCCCAACCTTTACATCCAGAAAACCCTAAATCCCCAAATTTCTACTGAAATCATTCTAAACCCTAACCCTAACCTTAACCCTAAGAGCTAGTAAATTTGGTCACGGCTTTGGTTCCTTCAGATACAGCATGCTTAGCAAGCTCACCAGGCAACACCAACCTAACGGCAGTCTGGATCTCGCGAGAAGTGATGGTTGGCTTCTTGTTATACCTAGCGAGCCTTGAAGATTCCTGTGCAAGCTTTTCAAATATATCATTGATAAAGCTGTTCATGATCCCCATAGCCTTACTGGAAATCCCGATATCAGGATGGACTTGCTTCAACACCTTGAATATGTATATCTTGTACGTCTCTACGCTCTTCTTCGCCTTCTTCTTTCTTCGGGCCTTTTCTTCTTCTTCTTATCGATCGCGCCGCCTTCTTTTGGCAGTTTCTTCTCTGCTCTTGGCTTCTTCTCCGCCGGCCGCTTTTCTTGCCGGTTTCTTTCTTCCGCTGGCTTCTTCTCGGCCTTTGGCGCCATCAGGGATTTCTAAATCGTAAAAAGGAAATCGGTGATGGCAAAAGTAATGAAGAGGCTGAAGATTGTGATTTTGCGATGTTGATTTTGCGATTGCTTATATAGAGGAAAGAGGTGAGAGGCTGATTGGTTGGTTTTGAGAGCACACGGATTGATTTGCATGGACGGTGGGTATTATGGATGAAATGGACGGTTAGATATTGCGTAAAATTAGAAAACTTTTTGGGGCGGTCTTTAGGATTTTTGGGGCTCCCGGGTTATTTTTGAAGGAGCGGGAATTTGGGTTTTGTTTTGACCATAAGCCCAAATTTTGAATTTCGTTTGTAGTTGGGGAATTTTTGAATTTCGTAATGGTTTAAAAAAATAACCAATAAATAAAATGCTTATAAAAATATTAAATTAAAAAAAATTTTGATAGCAATTATTTTTATTGAAGTCAATGAAGTTTCAAAATAATATAAAATGTAAATCAACTAGATGGAAAAAGCTCCAAAAATGTTAAAACGCAGTGATGCAATTCAATTGAAATTTCTATCAGTTATCAATCACTGATTTAAAATAGTTTATTCAAACAATATTAACTAGTTTAAGTAGAAAAATATGTATTACTTTGCTTTTAAAGTATTATGGTGTATTTAGCCAATAGCTTGCCAAATAGTAAAATCAATCATTTTATTAATTTTCAACTCATTTTTTTAAATTTGTGTTCACAGGTTTAGATCATTAACGAGGAAATTCTAATATGTGATTGTGGATTTGTTATGAATGATTGGAATAAGGATTTTAATTAGTAACTGATAAAAGCTTACTAAATTTATACAAATATTATTATTGAATTTTTTTCCCTCTCAGTTATTTGCTATTTCGTATTTATTTAATTATTGATTTTTTAAAATTAATGTTTTTATTATAACACATTAAAATATAAAATATCTCTCCGTCCATTTTGTGCATGGTTTGACAGAACACACTATTTAAGAATTAGTCAACGAAATATTGTACTTTCTCAACCTTAACTCATTAAGATATTAATAAAAATTATTGATTTTAATAAACAATCAATAAAGGTTATATGGAAAAAAGTAATTATTAATGTACAAATTTAAAAACTTTTACAAATATTTTTGTTGACATTTAAAAAATGGATCACAAGCAAACAAAAATGGAACGGAGAGAATATATTTGTTCTTATATATATTGTTGGTGAAAATTAATTATACAAGATTATCATTTTTTATATTTCCAACAAGCGATGCAGCGCAATTTGAAATTTTATCGGATATTCCAGTATCATTAGCTTACCCAATTATCACTTATAAACCAAATGTAAACTAGCATGGTATACGTTGAATCTTAAATAAACCCTTAAGTGCTAGTATAAAAGATCCAGTTACAGAATACTAAGCATAACTAGTAATAACTATATATACGAATCTGACCATAAATCTAAGGTTTGAAGATCTCCGTTTCCGATCTGAAAAAAAAAAGAACCTAGTTCAAATTAACCTTGGGTGAAAGGTCGATAAAACATCATCGGATAGTTTAATATAACAAACCATAAATTGTAAGCGTACAGTCTAGGTGAATTTACCATTAATGAAAAAAATATTAATGGTGTCCCAATTGATTTAAAATTAAAATAACTTTCATAATTTAAGAAACCAGACAAAGTATTCTATTAAGAATTCAATTACCCTTCTGTCATAAATAGTGGAGCCAAACATTAATCCTTAAGCAGAGAGGTTGGAGTTGATTTCTATAATTTATTAATTCTTTTTCAAATTTTTTTTTAAATGAGATAGTGTCTAATAATTAATATTTGAACATACGCTTTGATTTCTTTAATTTTTTTTTTGTTAATTAACATTTAATAAAAGTAAATTGTTGATGTTTCCATACAAAATGTGCTGGAAAACTATAATCAGGATGAAATTACCCTATTATATGGCATGTATGCGTTTTAAAGTGTTGGTGTGGGAAGTTTTATTTTGTGTGATTAGTTTATCATTCTGCTACCTTTAATAGAATGTTTGGGTATTTTCTTTGTATCATATTTGATGAGATTTGATATTCGCTTGTGGGTAGACTTAGAGAATGGCTCTTTGGCTGGGGTTTAGTATTGTCTACCGATTGACAGTCCATTTTTCCTGACTAATACGCTATTGGCTCTCAGTCCTCGGGAGGCACATAAAGATAGGGCATGGTCTTCTATGAATACGAGGTGAGTGCTTAGGCGTTTCTGCATTTGTGACAGGATAGTATTTCCTTAGTGAACTTACGGGACTGTGATCTAAGGCATACGCAGCCAACCTCCCTGTGACATATAGTTAGTGTGTAATTTGGCAAACGATTGAGGCTTTATCTGCCAGCGATTCTCATCCAGAATTTAGTAAGAACACATTATATAGAAACAATAAGCTGACCTCTAATTTTGTAGTAACAACCAAACCTTACTCTGCTTCTTTTTACCGCTCGCACCCTAAAGTGTATCGTGAGCACCCGCATACCCATATCACAACATAATTTTTAAGGATTAAGTAGTGAATAAATTGAAACATTATAGAAATGTAATCAACAATTTATAGCTATTAATAAATCTCTTTTTCCTTGAAAAATTCCTTATCTCCTATCTTAAAAACTTCAAATAGTCTATTCAGGCCAAATAGATCAAATGATGTGACATATATAAAAATCATTTAAAAAAGAACAAAATTATGATAGATAAGAATTGGTGATTAGAATTCCTGCATACATATATAGATCGAGATACGGGTGCAGAGAAAGTTTAGTATTCATCTTACAATATTTTGATACTGCCTTTAAGGTTGACTTTTTTGAGGCTGCTTATTAGTAATAAATGAAGCTTGTTTTTTTGATTATAAGTATCCACTGATTGAGAATACGAAATCACAACAAATCATTATGTTAATTGTCGTCTTATTGTTTGAATATATGCTATAGTAAGCTGTTTTAATTGACAATGCATTTTCCAAACTGTGTCTAGTTCAGATAGGTTGGCTTGTTATTCTCTCACTTCACATCTATATACCAAACAAAAACATCAGAATACACCAAAAGCTTTTTGGGTAATTAAGATTGGGTTCTTATCATACGGCGGAGTATACTGGTCGACCTTGGAAAAGGCTTAATGATATAGGACTTATAGCCTTGTTTTTTTTTTCTCGCTCTTATCAAGAAGATAACGCTAGATCAGTGATGGAGTAAGTGTTTATCTTTATCTATGTGAAGTTTGTGTTAACAGGATTGGAAATCTAGTAAATCTCTTGGGTGTAGTGTATGGGATTTCTATCCAGAAAAATATAAAATTTTGAGTTTTGAATAATTATATATGTTATATACTAAGGGGAGAGGCTATTAAAGTGTTATGGCATGTATAAGGTATGTACCAGATTTTTGAGACTGTATTCTGGGTATATCATTCTTAGGTAAAATAATTCATGTACATTGCATGCTTTTCCATATTTTGTCATAAATTTAAATCTTTTGCGCTCGTGAGTTTTTTAGGTCACATTTGTCTACATACTTCGATTGCTGCTTGACTCGAGCACTGACTGCATCAATATCATTGATAAAGCTGTTCATGATCCCCATAGCCTTACTGGAAATCCCGATATCAGGATGGACTTGCTTCAACACCTTGAATATGTATATCTTGTACGTCTCTACGCTCTTCTTCGCCTTCTTCTTCTTCTTATCGATCGCGCCGCCTTCTTTTGGCAGTTTCTTCTCTGCTCTTGGCTTCTTCTCCGCCGGCGCTTTTTCTGCCGGTTTCTTCTCCGCTGGCTTCTTCTCGGCCTTTGGCGCCATCAGGAATTTTTCTAAATCGTAAAAGAAAATCGGTGATGCAAAGTAATGAAGAGGTGAAAGATTGTGATTTTGCGATTGTGATTTTGCGATTGCTTATATAGAGGAAAGAGGTGAGAGGTGATTGGTTGGTTTTGAAGAGACACGGATTGATGCCATGGACGGTGGGTATTATTGGATGAAAATGGACGGTTAGATATGCGTAAATTAGAAAACTTTTGGGGCGGTCTTTAGGATTTTGGGGCTTCCCGGGTTATTTTTGAAGAGCGGGAATTTGGGTTTTGGTTTTGAACCCATAAGCCCAAATTTGAATTCGTTTGTAGTTGGGAATTTTGAATTTCGTAATGGTTAAAAAATAACCATAAATAAAATGGTTATAAAAAATATTAAATTAAAAAAATAATTTTGATAGCAATTATTTTTATGAAGTCAATGAAGTTCAAAATAATATAAATGTAAATCAACTAGATAGGAAAAAGCTCCAAAATGTAAAACGCAGTTGATGCAATCAATTGAAATTTCTATCAGTTATCAATCACTGATTAAATAGTTTATCAAACACATATAACATAGTTATTAAGTAGAAAATATGTATTACTTTGCTTTTAAAGTATTATGTGTATTTAGCCAATAGCTTTGCCAAAATAGTAAAATCAATCATTTTATAATTTCAACTCATTTTTTAAATTTGTGTCACAAGGTTTTAGATCATTAACGAGGAATCTAATATGTGGATTGTGGAATTTGTTTTATGAATGATTGAATAAGGATTTTAATTAGTAACTGATAAAAGCTTACTAAATTTATCAAATATATTATGAAATTTTTTCCTCTCAGTTATTGCTATTCGTATTTATTTATTATTGATTTTTTAAAATTAATGTTTTTATATAACACATTAAAATATAAAATACTCTCTCCGTCCCATTTTGTTTGCATGGTTTGACAGAACACACATATTAAGAATTTAGTCAACGAAAATTATTGTACTTTCTCAACCTTAACTCATTAAGATATAAATAAAAATTATTGATTTAATAAACAATCATAAAGGTTATTATGGAAAAAGTAATTATTTAAATGTACAAATTTAAAAACTTTACAAATATTTTGTGACATTTAAAAAATGAATCACAAGCAAACAAAATGGAACGGGGAGAGTAATATATTTTGTTCTTATATATATTGTTGGTGAAAATAATTATACAAGTAATTATCATTTTTATATTTCAACAGCGATGCAGCTGCAATTGAAATTTTATCGAATAATCAGTATCATTAGCTACCAATTATCACTTATAAACAATTAACTAGCATGTATAGTTGAAATTAAATAAACCCTTAAGTGCTAGTATAAAAGAATCCAGTTCAGAATACTAAGCATAACTTAGTAATAAATATATATACGATCTGACAATAAATCTAAGTTTGAATCTCCGTTCTCCGATCTGAAAAAAAGAACCTAGTTCATTAACATGTTGAAGTGTCGAACTCATCGGATTAGTTTAACAACCAAAATTGAACGACAGTCAGATGAATACCATAATTGTTAAGAAAAATATATTTAATGGTGTCAATTGATAAAATTAAAATAACTTATCATAATTTAAGAACCAGACAAAGTTCATATTTTTTCTATTAAGAATCCAATTTACCCTTTCTGTCATAAGTGCCAAACATTAATCCTAAGCAGAGGTTGGTTGATTTCTATAATTTTAGTTTAATTCTTTTTCAATATGATTTTTTTTTAAATGTATATAGTGTCTAATAATAATATTGAACATACTTTGATTTCTTTAATTTTTTTTTTTAGTTTTATTTTTATAACATTTAATTATGTAAATTTTTATTGTTCCATACAAAATTGCTGGAAAATAAATAGGATGAATTCCCATTTTTGGCATGGTTTTAATTTATGTGTTGTTCGGGTTATGTTGATTAGTTTTCATCTTACCTTAAAAGAGGTTTTCTTATCAATTATGAGCATTAGATTCCTTGGATGTATTAGAGAATGGCTCTTGGCTTGGGTTTAGTTTCACGAGAGTCCATTACCTGACTAATACCTGCTTGCCCTCGGAGGCAAATGGGCTGTCTGAGGGGGGTTTGCATTACAGAAAATCGAACTCATGATCTAAGCTACAACCCTGCAAGTGTTATTTGCCATTAAGCTACTCCATTCTCGATTATAAAAATAAACAAGCTACTCATATAACACACACACGCGCACACACGCACACACACATATATATATATGAACTAAATTAAATAACGAAATCTTATTCTGAAAATTCCATCTCATTTTAAATTCAAAGCCAGCCAAAGATGATCATAAAAAATAAAAAAAAATAAAAAAATTTAGAATTCCATAATAGACGAAAGGGAGAATTAACTCTTACATTGATCTGCCTTTAGGTGCTGAGCTGCTGATACACTAGAAACAATATTAATTTCTATAATATATTGCTATAGAAGCTATACATAATAATCTGTCAAGGCTGTTTTTCTCTTTCCATTCATTTTTGGAATAATGTCTATGAGTTACTGTCACCATAAGCAATATTAGATACTTTTTTTCTTGCTTCAAGATAAGACTAGCTATGGATGTTATTGTTATATTTGTTCAGTTGAATAGAACTTGGTGTTATGGGATCTACAAAAATTAAATTTGGTTGAAAAAATGTTACTTGGGAGGGCTATAGGCGTCGACCACCAGAAATCAGCTCCTTCCATTGCTAACTGCTCTGAGTTTTAGCACAAGTTGCTCACGCTCGGACTCGACCTCTGCACATTTAAGGCTCATGTGGAAATAGCTGTCTCGCAATTCTCTCAACTCTATCTCCATTGATGATAATTTACCCTCATTCAACAAGCTGAAAACAAGCACTTGTTACTGTTAGTGTTGCTAGACAGAGATCAAGAATGAGTTTATTTTTCTAAGAAAGGTAACAGTCTTTCAACAAGTTGTGTCAGAAAACATATTCCACAATCTTGAGAGTATTTTTGGAAGTCATCCAATTCCTTTGTTATCTGATAAACAAGAAATCAACCCCTCAGCTAATGTTTTGATTCCAGTTACTTACAAAAGTGATTTGGGGTTTCAGTTTCAATTCCAACTACAAGAAAACTGCAAGTTCACATTGATTTGCTCTAAACTTGGGAATGGAATGTAGTTTTGGTATTAGAATTCTATTTCTTGATTCGATTCACAAGGCATCCAAAATTTTTTTGTCGTATATTTTTTTTTTGGATTTATGTCGAAACAATATAATATTTTTAAGTATAATTCTTAAATATAATCAATAAATTCGATTTACATAGTTAATAAAGAATACACTTGGAATAAGATTCTTTTGATTTATATATGTATTTTCACTCTTATTTAATTTTCAAGGTAAGTCGAACATGCTCTGATATCTATCTATCTATCTATATATATATAGATTGTTTAACCTTGAGCAGTCATCAATGTTAAATGTGGAGCCAACTGTTTTAATATGTCCTGCTAATGTTATTTATACAAACTAATCTAACTAGACAGGTAAATATCTGATTAAGTGAAATGGTGTAAAAAGTGACATGAGCGCATGATTATGTAAGACATGAATATTTGTAAGATGTTTGCCCAAAAAAAAAAAAAAGTAAAGCGAACAAACAAACATTTTTGCTCACCTTTTAAGCTGTGTTTTATACATGTCATTTGCCTCCAAAGTCTCAGCTAGTTCATTTTCAAGTTGCTCGATTTTTAATGAAGGATCAATTCCCATAACCGTGGAACTTCCAGGAACAAATTTTGTTTCGATATCAACCTGAAACACAGAAGAAAGACAAAAGTTATACATAAAATTAATCAACCAAGTTTTGAGAATTCTGTGGGAGAATTCCTTTCCAAAACTATTTCATTCTCGTCCTTTGTTGAAAAAAATTGCAGCTAAAAATATAGAAAAATGAAAGGAATTAAAAGATGCAATATTAACAATCCTCAATTGAACGTGAGACGGAAAAAGCCCATACAGACCTGTGAAGAAGTGTTACTACTAATTGCATTGTCTTCAGAATAAACGTCAAGACTTGTGTCGCTGGAGTTTGGTGAATCCTGTTTTGCTGCTTTCCTCTTCTTCTTGAGCTCAGCTTCAAAAGCTTGTGTTCTCCTAAGGTACTCTTGCTTCTCTTCCTGAAGTTCTCTTATCTTCCTTTGTAATTCACTATTTGCTCTCTTAACCCGGGAAAGCTCATTTTTCAGCTCAGCATCCTCAGCTCCAAGTGCCTCTCTTGCAGTTAAATCCCCTTGAAGCCGCAAAACCTTTTCCTCAAGAGAAACTTTACTGCGTTTGCAGCTCTCTAATTCATAAACAGCCCTTTGCATATCAGAAATCATCTGTAGAAGTACCATTTTCTCGGCCTTCAGCTCTTCCTGATCTCCTGAGAGAATCTGATGTGAAACTTCAAGTCTTTGGTTTTCAAATTGGACCTCATCGAGGGATCTCTTGAGGGACAAAATTTCATCTTGAAATACTGCTGTTTTCTGCAATTGAACCCTAAGGCTGGAAATTTCTTCTTCTAGTTGTAGCCTCACATATGCTGAAGCCTTCAGTTTTAAATCAAGCCCCCGAACAATGTTTTTATGTTTTTCTTCATTGGATTTCACATCTTCCAACAATTCCAGTAGCTTTTCATGGTCTGCCATCAGAACATCCAGGTTTTGTTTGGAAGCTGAAAGTTCATCCATAAGTCCTAACAGCTTTGTTTCTGATTCCATTTGGAGGGTACTGAGATTACTCTCAGATAATTTAAGCTTTTGCTGGATTTCTTGTAGTGAAGCTTTGAGCATAGCTTTATCTGCACGTAGTTGAGATACTTCAATCATAGCTGCTGAACCAGTTCTTTCTTTTTCTTCAGGAGTTGCAGATATATATTCAGTAAGACGTGCGATCTCTCTGTGAAGATTCTCAGCTTCAACCTCCTTCTCCAAGTACATCTGATTCAGCAGGCTCTCTTCTGTAACGAGTTTTTCTCTATAAGTTTTGTTTTCTTGAAGAAGTGCATCTAGTTCTAAACCAAGGGCTTTCTCTTTTGTTGTGATTTCTTCCAGCATCAAAGCATATTTTCCTTCAAGAGATTCAATTTCCTTCAACACATCAGAAAATCCATTTCGTGATTCCCTCAGTTCTGCTTCCAAGATTGCACAATGCCCATGCAACTCCAATTTTTGCTTCCTTAACTCTATTATTGATTGCTGAAGCAAACTACACTCATCAATAAGGCTTTCAGCTGTCATTTGTAACTTTACATTTGCTATTTTCAGATATTCACACTCACTTTGAGTTTCTAACCACTGCTTTTGCATGCCTTGTAACTTTTGTTTTCCATCACTTTTTTGTGCTTCCAATTCACTTTTCAATCTATTTATCTCTTCCTGTAGATTTATAGCACTTGACTCCGAATTATGTAATTCCAAGCGGCTCGTCTCCCTCTCGTCAGTCAAATACCTCAATTGTGCTTCCAAGCCAGATATTCGTTCTGATAACCATACATTTTCTTTTTCTAGTTCAGACAAATGAGCTTCTACTTCACATTTGCTGCTTTCCAGCTCCAGTAACTTTGATGGAAGAGTATTTTCGGTAGGAAGATGGGAATTTATCGTGCTATTAAGAAACCTTGTCTCATTTTGTAATTCATCCAAGCCTGTAGATGTCATTATACTACTATTAATCACCATTGTTTCATTACAAGAATCATCCAAGCATGCAGATGTCTTAGCACCTTCCCTTATCATAACTTCCACGTCTTCCTCTAACTGCGTTCTTTCATTCTTAAGATTAGAAATCTGCGTTTCCAACTCCCTTTGGCAATTCCTTAGAGATTTCACCTGTTCTTCCGTCAACAAATTATCAGATTTAAGCTTCTCTATTTCAGATATCTTCTCCAATATCTCCTTACCCGAATCTGTAATTTCAGGTTTAAATTTCATTTGCAGATCTTGTCCCAGATTAGAAGTTCTCAAAGCATTTTCTTCTAAATTGCAAGTTTCCAATTTTTTCTGGACCTCACCACCATTTGCTTCTCTTGCACTGACTTTTCCATTTCGCTTCAGTTCAACTTCCAGTGTGCCAACTTTCGCTTCAAACAAATCCTTTAGCTGGACAAAGCTGTTCAAAATAGCAATAGCTAGATCTTTTTGGCTAAAAAAATCTGTAGCATTTGGAATCAATGTATTATAATGGTAATTTTCAGCAGTTGAAGGAAAATTAATATCATACTGTTGTTTTTTGGCATTGGATAGACACAACTGAATCTGTTCATGCAACTCGGACAGTGTTTTGGATATTTCAACAGCATCATCTGATTGAGAACTCTTGAATTCTGCCCTCATGTCAGCAAACTGGCCATTTTTCTGAGTTTCCTTTTCTTGGTAAGATACTAACTGTTGTTGTAGTGCAGCAATCTCAATTTCCTGCTCTTCTGCTCTGGCCTGACATTTACAAAGTTCATCATTAAGATAACATGTTTTGTCTTTGTAAGCTTGTAACTGAACCTCCAGGTCAGAACATTTTTTTTCAAGACCTATAAATTGGTTCTGCAATTTATCGGTGGACAGCCTTTCGATAAGCATTTCTTTCTCATTCAGCTCCTCTTCAAGCTTGCATATTTGGGATTTCATTTTGCTTACTGTAGATTCAGAGGTAGAGAGGGAGTCATTCTCCAGAAATCCATTTGATAAAGAATTAGAAGAGGCACCACACCCTGGAAGATCCCCTTTTGATTCTTTGAGCTTAAGTAGAAGTTCTATATTTTCATCTGTAAGCTCATTGCAATCTTTTTCAAGCTCCTCTATTCTCTGTTTCAGAACTTCAACTTCTTTCATCAGATTGTTATTGTCTGCATTTTCGAGACCATCAGCCTTGAGCGCCTCAGATAACCTTGCTTCCAAATTGATGATTTTTTCTTCTTTTACAGATAACTTATCTCTCCATTGTGCTTCAAAGTCCATTAGAGTTTGAGTCTTCAAACTTCTCTCATCCTCTAATTCACAAGTTTTTTCCTCTAGAGATTTTTCCAGAAACTGAATGGTACTCTCTAAATTCTTTGCTGATTCTCGCAACTTCTGTATCTCCAGTTCCAGGTCCCTCTCACCATCTGGTTCTAAACCTGAAGGTAAATTCACTAATTCATGTTCCACTTCCAGATATGAATCACAAGAGACTTTGCTTATATCCTTCACAGGAACTTCCTCGTTTGGCTTTATCTCCCCATTTTCTTCAAATCCAAGGCCATATTTCCCTAGGTTTTTGTCTTCAGATTGCATTTTTGAAAGATTAGCAATTTCTTTTTTCTGTTTTTCTATGGTATCTTCTAGTTCCTGAAGTATGGAAACCAGCTCAATGTTTGACTCTTGAGTTTTCTTTAGCTGTAGAGCCAAGTCAGCATTTGACTCTTTCTGGAACTTCACTTCATCTTCCAATTGTTTTTGAAGGTCGTCCATTTCTTTCGCCTGATAATTCAAAGTTTCAGCAGATTTTTGCTTCCCTATTGATTCCTCCAACAAGAACTTCATTTCTTCAATCTGCTGTTTCAAGCCATCACATTCTGTGCGTGATTCAGTGACCTCGATTTCTAGACTTTCCTGGCGGTTTAACTGATCTGATAAGTCCCTCCTCAATTTTTCCATATCAATCATTAACTTTCTAGCATTTTGTTCCCACATCCTCGCTTCTGCTCGAAGTTCTTCGATTGTAACTTCTGCAGCTTCTAGAAGGTCCTTAGATGAACCTGCATTTCGCAGAGGTGAAGAGGCAACAGAGCGATAAACTCGATTAGACTCATCCCTTTGATTCTGAAGGCTGCTTCGGGAGGTGGACACCTTTGAGTTAAAGGATGAGAGATTCGATTTAGAAGAATCATTAAAAGAATAAGATCCATAAGGATAACTATTCTGGGAGTCAGTTGAATCTTGTCTTCCAATGTGGTTGTTTGCAATGCTGGTCGAGTTATTTCGCGGAGAATCCCTTCCCAGTGAACCCTCCATTGATTCAAAGCTATAACGTGAGCCAGATGCTGAGAAACTGAAATCCTGTGGCAACAAAGAGAAGTATGTTTTTAGTTGCCAGTAAGTGCATGTAAAAACTATCAGAATAGTTTGAACATAGTTGGAATAAGGATGCAACAAAATAATAAAGCATGAATAAATCTTTTTAAATGCACTGAAGAAAATTCTTTAACCATCTTTCTCCAAGTACCAATGTCATATACTAATATCTCCTCCCCAAACAGAGAATCAAAAACATATTTAAGTTATTGCTGACTGAATCATTTAACAATAGAAACATCCATTCAGAAGCCCAAAGCTGAGAATAAGTTTCCTGATTCTTAAACTACCAGATATCTTTAGAGCCTGAGCAAAGCCGAAGTCCTGATTGGCTGGTATAGCTTATGGTATCATGACTTTATAAGGCAGGCTCATAGAATCTGCAAAAAGTAAGGCACTTAAAGAAAGGGCTCATAATCCAATATATGGCTAAGAATATATAGCCAAATGGTTTATAGACAAATACCAGTAGCCATATGGTTGAATGTAGAACGCCAATTGTCCCATTTACTCATTAAAAATAAACTTGCGTCTAATAAATAAACATATAGTTTTTCATCTTTTATTTAGGTATTCATCATCTATTCTTGAGCTTCAAAAATCAAATTCAAGAAAGTCATGAAATAAATTTAAAAGAACAACAACACAAATTCACTAGCACAATTCTATAAAAGGTGAATTATAATATATGGGATGACATTACTGTCCATGTGGTTGGCTGCAGATGGTCACCTAATAAACTAAATTGTACAGATTACAATTACAGTATAAGAACTTGAGTTAATGCAAGTGTACCTTGCTATGTAGTTCTCCTCCACTAGATGAACTATCCAAATGGTTACTAGAAGAGGATCCCACACTTTTAGTCAATGAACTATCAGATACATCTGATTTGCTTTCCACATCATCATAGTCAACATTCTCATCCTCCATGTATGAACCTGTGTCTTCCCACTGCTCCTCCCTTTAAAAAAAGTGACTTTATCTCTTTCAGAACAATTGAAACCCAGTGGTATAAACCTGAAATTTTTTAATTGAACCACAAACCTGAATTTCGGTCTTGGTGTTAGGCACTGAATTTTAACCTGCAAGTTAGAGATCAGTTAGTAGCAAAGAACTCCATCTATGCAAACAAAAGGATGGGTACTCTACGAACAACAGTATTTTGGTGGAAGGTTAATCTGGCGTGTCATTTTGGATGCTTGGAGACAACTTGGCTTATGCGTTGAGAAGTAACAAAGGACATCTATACTCTAATTTCGTCGTGATTTTGATAGTGGATAACATACCAAATTCTTTTGCAGTAATATTTTTCAAAGTGCTAGAGTGGACAAAAGATATATGTCTATTTCTCCATGTTGATAGTGGTGTTGGAAAGATATGTGAGATAGGTTAAGGATAGTTGGGCGAGGAAATCTAATAAACTTTGAGAGATTGTTAAGATTTTTGCATGTAGTACTAGGTGACAGAACTAAGAGGAAAACTTTGCTTTTCAATATATTACTATAGTGTAAATGTATATGCATTATAAGACCAAGACAACGACTTGATAAGATTTACAATAGCAAAAATGATAACGTTTCTATTTACATGATTAGCTACAAAAGCTAACCAGATATACCTACATAAACTGACCAGATATGAATTACTTAACAGTAAGGACAATTATGGAGCAAGTGTCACACCCTTCTCCCTGACTCCAGCTTAAATTAATCACCCTTGAGATCTGAACAGTTTTTTGACAAATTCCATGCCTCTCTTTATCATAAATAGTGATCGAAAAAGTACGAGAATAATGAAGGTTTCTTTTAAAGTGTATGCCAAAAGGGTTATGAGAATAAGGCATAGGTTATGACTTAATCTAGAGTCAGAACACCTTTCTATATAAATTGTGCTCGATGAAAAAGAGACTGATAAAATAATTTGTATTGCATGATATTTTGTAAACTCTGGCATCATCAGTGTTGTCTACCTATTGCAAGAACTTGATTGATGACTCACTTGTAAGATGGTCCCATGGTTGCACTTCTTCAGTGGTAATGAAACAGGAATAGCAGTTTTTGAACTCCTGTAGCTTGCCAAATTAACAGTAGCCTCTCCCAGGATGCTAGATTTAGTTGATCCCTACAAAATCAGGGAATTCATACCAAATCAGATCTCAACCATAAATTAAAATTCAAAAAGAAATTTCTTCCTTTCATTTAGTTATTGCCATTGAGCTAGTAGCCTAGCGGTCAAGTGCCTGCCTTGTAGTGCAGGAAGTCAGGGATTAAACCCTGACAGGCTCAATCCCATTTAAGTACTTCGAAAGCACCAAAGAAAGGAATATTTAACACAAACATATCACGTCACCATGGAAACAACAAGCTTGAACAAGCATTCTTCAATTTCTTTTGAAGCATCACGTTGGGACATCCAAATAGATTCAGACAAAGCCTCTGTCCATTGACAGTTTCCATTTCTTACTGATGCTTTCCCTGATTTGGTGAGAGCTTTCCCTGTTTCTACAGAAATTAAAGACACATAGAGCCTGTCCCATCCTTTTGGTACCTGCCATTGCCAAAATCATAATGCAGAAAACATTGAGAAAACATCAAACCTTCAACTTTCGCGTCATAATGAAAATGCAGAACAACTTGGGCATTGAAAGGGGCAACAACTGTGCGAGATTTATTACCATCATCTTTTGGTTACTAGCCCATGATAGAGTAAAGACACACTATAAAGAGACAACAATCCAAAAAAATCAGAATGCAATAAATAAAATTGTCAAAAAATTAATTAAAAAAAATCCAGAAATAGGCGATATAAAACCCAAAGATTTGAACATATTCCTCAAGCAAATTATTGGAGGGTGTAAATTAAAAATGTACCCTCTGCTTAGATATTTTCAAAATCCATGCCCAAACAAGTTCTCAACCCATTAATCAATGTAATATAACTTAGTCAAAGAGTTTCATTTAAAAACAAAATCTGAATCTTCCCATTTCAAATACTATCTATCCAAACCCAATCTACAAAATTTCTGAATGGTCCTTACATATCATTGATCTTGCTTACTAAAGATTCACTAGAATTTACTAAGTATAAATCTACCATTGCAATTTACTAGAATTTGTTGGAACAAACTTTAAAAAGAAAGTTTCAAGAGACAAGCATTACTTAAAAATTAATGAAACAGATTATATATATAAAAAAATAAACATGAGAGTGTGTTGTGGCTATAGACGAGAGAGATACCTGAAGAAGCTGGAAATTGGAGAACTTGAAACTGAGTTTTTCTCCAGATTTCTCAGACTTAAGCTTACCGTGTAACCTGAACATTTCCTTTTCTCTTCTCTTCTCCTCTTCCGTTTTTAGCTTTTCGTCTTTCAATTCCTGGTAAATAATATGAACTTCATTTCCTATTGTTCTCCGCCATTAGAAGACAATCTCACATCACATGCCAAGGGAGAGAGACAGAGAAAATGAATTGTGTAATGGGGAGCTTCAGCTGTTACTTATCGTTGTTGGTTAGAGTTAGATATAATATATTACTAAATATTTTAATTCAATCCCATTCGAGTTTTCGCTTCAGTTAGAGTCCTTGAATGCTGTATATTTATACTTTCCTCCCCCAATTTATGTAATCTTTTAAGCTTTTTCCCTTACATTAAATTCTCTGACTGGGAAGGAATGTCATGTCTCAATTAGTACTAGATTAAATTGTATTAAATTGTTTATATTTTGATTTAATGGGATTTAATCAACTTTATTTTCTTTCTATGTGCCTACACAATTTAAATTTTTTTTTTTAAAAAAAATAACAAACCTATTTTTATGAGAAGCAGGGTGTAATGCAGAGGAAAGCATAATAAAAACATCCTATAATAATAACCAGCATTTAATTAATAATATATAAAGATTTAATAAAAAAATTATGAATATAAAGATACACATTTTGACAATTTATAGATTTATAACAAAAATATTTTACGAGAATCCAACTCAAAGGCATGTCGCCATGAAAAAAGATATATATAAACTAATAAAAAATTTAAAATACTTTCAATTAAATTAAATGTGAATTCATAAATTAGACGAAAATATACATATAAATAAAAAGCGAACAAGTGTTATTTATAATTTGGTTCGAAAATTTATTAACAATTAAATTCAACTCAATTGATCAAACCTTGATCATTCCTACGAAGCAATCAAGAAACTATCATAATATTTTTTAAGTTTATAAAAAATGAAATTAGTTTTATTACCTAAAAAAGAAAATTATTAGTATAATCATGGGAAATTTAAAAAAAAAAAAAAAAAAAAAGAGATGTGCAAGTTCATATTTAGGACGGAAAATAGTAAAATCTACATGCGTCTAGTGAGCATGGAGGATATATAGTATACAGCACGTGCGGACAGTCAGAGGGATAGACCATCAGCGCGCGCTCGACTACCAACAAAAGTAATCAAGCTAGCAAGGAGAAACCGCAAGTTTATTTATAATTTGCTTCCGAGGAAAATTTGATTTCACGACATTACATTCAACACGAGCGTAGGGAGCAGGCGAAGCCTCAATTGATCAAACTTGGAATCATTCTTCGAAGGCAATAAGAAACTAATAAAATTTTTAAGTTTATAAAAAATGGATAATTAAGTTTATTACCTAAAAAAGAAATTATTAGTATAATCATGGGAAATTTAAAAAAAAAAAAAAAAAAGAGATTGAAGCACTGTGATCAGAGACACAAATGGCGGTGGGGAGAAGGAATCTTAAAATGTAAACATAATAAAATACAACCAAAGCATTGCCATAATTGAATGTGAAGGATAAACTCAGAAAATCACGCTCACTTTGTTCCCCCTATTCTTCCGTCTTAAACCCCACAAACATCACCAATTTAACGCTGTCTACGCCTACTCGCCTTCTACGCTTTTTTTCTTTCCTCCTTTTCTTTTTAATTGTAATGAACATACGCAAATAGCTCCAACAAGCATCGTCATCCAACGAAATAATTTATTCTAAATTAGAAGGCCTAAAATCAATAAATCTTGCAAAACATAAATTTCATGTACGAGCCTCATTTGGAAAAGCCAGAGATGTTTTTTCATATTTGATGTTGGCAAAAAAAAAAAAAAAAAAAGAGATTGAGACTGTGGAAGAGACAAGCAAATGGCGGTGGGAGAAGGAATCTTAAAATGTAAACATAAATAAAAATACAACCAAGCATTTGCATAATTGAATGTGAAGGTATAAACTCAGAAAATCACGTTCACTTGTTCCCTCCTATGCTTTCCGTCTTAAACCCCACCACACATCACCAATTTAACCTGCTACGCCTACTCGCTTCTACGCTTTTTTCTTTCTCTTTTTCTTTTTATTTAATGACAACGCAAATAGCTCCAACAAGATCGTCATCCAAGAAATAATTTATCTAAATAGAAGGCTTAATCAAAATCTTCAAACATAAAATTTCATGTACGGCCTCATTTGGAAAAGCCAAGATGTTTTTCAATTTTATGTTGGCACCCCATATTTCTTCTAATTCTTGTTTGTTTCCACAATGACAATGTTTTACTAATTGGTCCTTAGATTATGTCAATTGAACAACTTGATCAAAATTTTTTTTTACCAAATCAATCCTTGAACTTTTAGTTTTGGGTCAGTTCAGTCTAATACTAAATCCACAACATAAATTCTAAGTAATTACACATAAATTCAATGCAATAAATTGTGGATAAACAAAAGAAAAAAAAAAAAACATTTTATCATAATAGACGGATTGATATTTCACTTTGGAACTTTTAGAGTTTTTAATTTGAATATAGCAAAATAAAGTATAAGCATTTTGGTAAAAGAAATTTAATTCGACACTTTTTGTGGAATTATTTGAAAATTCTGAGGGAAATTGATTTAATTTTTTTTTTTTATAAATGAATTAAAAATAATTGAAATTAAAAGTTACAACTCCAATCAATTTTAGGCACCCATTTCTACCATTCTACAAAAAAAGTATGGAGAGAGAGAGAGAGAGGCAAGAGGCAAATAAAAAAATCAGCCGACAGCGAGAGGAAAAGGAGCAGATACAGAGAGTCAGAGAGAGAGGAGGATGAGCGATAAAAGAAAGAAGAAGAGGGAAATGGAGAAGAAAAGAGGAGTTGAGAGAAAAGATAAAGAGTGGGCTTTTTGGTAAGAAATTTAAATTGTATACGTTTGCGGGATGCATCTAAAGTTTCATTCTTGAATTTTGTAGAATTTAATTTAATTATATATAATTTTATATAACTGAATTTGTAAGAATTGAAATTAAAGGTGGCAAAATTTAGGGGTGAGAACGTGTGTGCTTCGGTGCGGTTTGAAAAAATTATTCAAACCAAACCAGAAATTATTATTTTTAATTCAAATTAAATCAAATGTAATAAATCGGTTTGATACGGTTTAATTTGCATTTGATGTCATTAAAATAATTTGATAAATTTCGTTAATTTTAACTAAACAAAATAATGAAATGGGATTTAGTTTGATTTGATTTTGATACACTTATTAATTTTTTTTAATAAGGATAATTCATTCATTTATAAAGAGGGATATATAGAGATTAAACTTGTATAAATCAATTCACAAAGCATCTTAAAAATAAAGATACTCTACTAAACCCTAACACCAAAATAACAGAAAAAAAAACATAAACAATAATCGAAAAATAAGGGTGTCAGTGATGGCCGCTGCCTCTTAATTCAATTTTTTCTTTTTAAATTTACTTATTACATAACTTTTGAAAAAATATTATTTTGTCTCTTCTATCTTCAATCTAGCTCCATCCTTAAATAAAAGAAAATAATTCACAACCATCACTATCATCACTGTTGGATCTTGAGAGGTATTCTTAACCCCATATTAAAGCAAGCCATCGAAAAGAATATTGATGATAAATTAGTGCTTTATATTTTAAATCAATAGTAAATAAGTCATAACTCAACTAACCAATTAATATTATGTGGATACCTAATTAATTACCCATCACAATATTACCTACACCACCACCACCATCACCAATGTCACCATCTTTACCTCCTCCACTACCTAAACCATTAACCACTAGCATACTCCATCATCATCAGTCATCACCACCATCATCAAAAAATTTTATTTTTTATATTTTCTCTATAGTAAAGATATGAAAGTCCAAAAATAATAAGTTAGTAGGAAAAAAATTTTTTGACTTTAAATTAATACATGAAGATCCATATTTTTAAAAACTAACTATAATGTACTTAACTTATGATTCCGTTAATATATTGATGATTTATGTTAACATACTGACTATATTTTAAAGTATGATTCCTTTTTTTTAAGGGTTTATTGCTAATTAAAGATATGATATTTAATTTTATTTGGTTAGAGAATTTTTACAATGTAGATCTTCAACCAATGTAGCCTAATAATGCAACATATTTCTATGCTATTAACACATAGTAACGAGAAATCATCTGTATACATTATATGCTGCAGTTTTTGAAAAAACAATATAAGTATAAAAAATTTAGGTAAATTATTATCGTTCCATTCAATTAAAGAACTAGTTGTTACAATGTAAAAATTTATTTCTTTTATCAAAATCAATCCTAAACAAAAAATTTAATATCATCTTTTTATTTTTAATTTTAATTTTATTATTCAAAAGAATATAAATAGTTTTTTTGGTATTAATATAAATAATTTTTTTAGTTCTATGTATGTATGATCTTTATCTTTAAGAGTATTTGTAATCCTTGTTAATGAATTATATTTCTCAAAAATGAAAATTGAAAGAATTGAGAAAAGCTGAATGATTCTTTACGTTCCCAGTTGGAAAAAGTGAGAAGCAAAAGAAAATTGACATTTGACCCATAAGTTAATTTAATATTAATTCTTGTTCCAGGTTACAGGACCAAAGAACTTTGACCACACAATGAAAAAGTCTCACCCACCCTAGTTTTATTGTATTAGCTTTCCAAATTTCAAAACTTTTTACCAAAAAAAAAAAAAAGTAATTATTATCATTATTATTACTCCCCTCCTAAAGTTGACTTGTGTCTTGCCGTTGACTTGAGTATAGAATTGTATGCCAAATTGAGAGTGCACAACTACTGTAATTATCACCCCCAACAGCAATTCATGTTGAATTATTTGAAAGTTCACTCCTAACTTAAGCAATGACCTAATTATATTTTAGATTCTTAAGTTTACAAAAATTGGTTGATTTCCAATAATAAATTATGGAAAATGAGCACACTTTTGAATGATTCACTTTCTATAAATTTCAATTAAGAAATTAATTCTCAAAAAATTTGAATATTAATTCTGAATTAATGAAATATTAATATTACTTAGATCAACTCTCGGATAAAAGTGAAATTCAAATGTAATTCTCATAACAATAGTAACTTTAAATTTTAAAACTCATTTTATAAGTAAAATTCATCTAGAGTATTAAAATAAGTCTTCAATGAAAGTGGAAGTTTGAATCTTCTTTGAAGCCTAAAATTCAACTCATTTTAGGTGCCTTCAACGGACCGTCAGGGAGTGTCTGCGTGTTGTTCTATAGAATAATTTAGGTTCACATGAGGACTTTAACTAAGACTTGAGTGCCAATTGACCACTCTATTGAAACGTTTACAGCTTAAATAAAAAATTAAAGGAAGACATATTTATAAGCACTTGAAAATAAATATATTATTAATCTTTTTTTAATATTATCAGAGCGCTTTACTATTTCATGGGTCTATCTGACACGGATTCGGATCAATTGGACCGGATGGTTTCGACAAAAATAAAATATTTTCCTTAATATTAACACTCATACAAAAACTAAATAAAGGACAAGGCCTTGAATTTATAAACCTCAATCCTGCTAGATTTAAACCTAACTTATTCTTAGTTAATAATCAAATGAAACTTAATCAATATATTAAATAATATATAAAACCATTAATAAGGTATTGGTTGAGGTGGTAAGTGACCTCAACTCTTGTAAGGGTAAGAAAATAAATTTAATTCTTAAGAAGCGCACTTTACTGGGAGGATTTTGAGAGAGATTACACTTCTCGGTTACACAATATATATATATAAAAGACTAAATCTGTGTATTAAATATTCTCATAATATCTTATTTGGAAATAATTATAAATTTGTTAGTACTTAGTAGAATATTGACAATCAAAATTGTAATACAAAATAATTCAAACTGGTCCTACCCCTTTTATTCCATAATTGTTCAAGAAATCATTTTATTTTATAATTATCATAATTTGTTGAATACTATTAATTATTTTCTTCATTTTCTTTTATCATATATAATTTTTAGGTCACTGGTAGACTTTATAAGTCTTGTTCAAAATTCATAATGTGGAAATTAAAATGCGTATAATGTTGAATCATAAATTTTTTATTTATATATTTTTAAAAAATTATAGAAGAAAAATGAATTTTAGGATTTGAATTTTCAAAATTTGAATTTGTTGATGAAAATTAAAATATTTTCAATTAAACAATTTATTATTATTTCATTTATCATGTTTAAAAAAACGTACGGTAGAGGAATGAAATAGGAGTTTCCTTTTCCTCATGATTTGTTTTAACGTAAGCTTAACAAGATAAATTAATTTATTATTTTTGTGGTTAAGCAATGGTGGAGCCAGACCCCAAAATAAAAGGCAAAATTTTTAAAAAATTGGAAAATCAAATAAAAAAAAAGGAGTAATTTTACTAGATTCAAGATTTGTTTTGCGACCACCAACCATTCAGCCACCTAAAATAGTCTAAGAGGCAAAACCTGAATGCTAGCTCTACAGAAAATTAGTTGAATAATTTTTATTGTCATAATAACTTGTTTTTACTATTTGAAATATTAAATAATTATACACACTAACGTATAGCTTATTCGTAAGTGCATTTACGATGACCTGTCAATTGATTCAAATTTAAATTTCTCTTCCACAATAATAAAAAATAATTATTAAAATAAATATATTTTAGTTGATAACTTTCTTTGACAATTAAAAAAAAGAAAAAGAAAGGAAAAACATAATTATAATACAAAACAAAGGAAGAAATAATAAAATTAAATACTTGAGAAGCATTATATTATGCAAAACAGTACATGCCATTTATTTTCCATGCAATTACATAATAAAGATTTTCTGAAGCTAAATATTTATTCTGTATCTATCACTTTCCAACAAATCAAATCTTTCCCAGCTATATACGTTATGTGTATATATATAAATATATATATGTATTGATATTAAATTTCTTCTGCTAAAAAGTCAAAATTAATGTCTAGACCTTTTATATATGGAAATGAATTTTCCTAGAATCGAGGAAGTTCTTGCTCTTGTGTTCACAAGATGTAATATACTCCATAAAACTTGCAAAGTCCGTATCCTTATAACGTCTTGGATTGTCTTCATTTATGAGTTTTGGCGACGGTCGAATTGTGCTACTAAAAGGTAAACTATGTAATGAAGCAATGGAGATTCTTGACTTTGAAGGATTTACAAGTACTCTGTGGACTACACTTTTGTATCTTCCATTGCTAAATATCTGAAAGAAAAAAGAAAAAAAAGACTATTATTTTTGTCTCATTATAATAATCTTTAACAGTAAATTGCTAATTATTATGCTTTAAAATATTACCACATGGTAAATTCAAGCGATGTTGGGATTAATTAGTGAAAGTCAATATCTTGAAGAGAGTTTTAAAATATAAACGCTTTTATTATTAAAGATATTAATCTTTCATCTAACTGTTAAATAAAAATAAAGAGGTAGTTTTAAAAGTAACCATAAAAAGGAACATGATAAGTTGTCAGCTTAAGATAAAATGCGTCAAATCACTCGTGAATTGCTCGAAATTCGATTCAAAACTCATTTCATAAACTTAACAAGTCGAGCTTGAACTTGCTTATAAAGCTCATTTAATAAATTATTCTAGAGTGGTGGAGTCAATATTTTGGGGAGGGTTTTAAGTATAAACATTTTTAGTCCTAAATAGATTAGTCGTTCGTCTAATTGTTAAACGAGTATAAAAAGATATATTTGAAGGTGCTAAAAAATTAATGCATAATTAGCTGTCAGCCAAAAGTAAAATAAGTCAAATCACTCGTGAGCTACTCGAATTCAGTTTAAAATTCATTCAATAAACTTAACAAATCGAACTTGAATAGCTAATTATAAAGATCCTTTAGTAAACTATCATGAACTCAAGCTTATATATACTTAAAATTGTAAATTAACATAAAGATTAAAGAACTAACCTCAAGATGATCACCCACATTAACAACAAATGAGTTAGGAATGGGTTCCACATTTACCCATTTCCCATGATGGTGAATTTGAAGACCCTTAACTAATTCATCTTGTAGAAGAAGTGTAAGAAAGCCATAATCAGAATGAGGTGGCATCCCAACAGTTAGCTCAGGTTCAGGGCATGAAGGGTAGCAATTCACCACCATTATTTGGCTCCCTTCTTTAAATTCTTTCAAAGAATTACCGTTTTTATCGGTCTCCATCAACCCTAAACTCTCTATCACTGCTTCCACAAGCATTAGATACAATGATTTTGTTTGCTTTGAGTAGTTAACCGCCGCTTCCCTGTTAATAATATTATAATCAACATTTGTTACAATTAAAGAAATACTCAATATATATACACATTTTATTATATGAGTAGATGAGCATAAAATAATTATAATTGAGTTTGAAATAAATTATTAGATATTAAAACAATGGTTTGATATTATTTTTTGTATTTAATATTTAATAAAAAATATATTTTTGTAAATTGTTCCATTAAGAATTTCAACATGTAAATTGTTCCATTTTTTCTGATAAATAATTTCAAATTTCAATTAAAATATTGCACGGCTTCTCTCAAAAAATGAGTCAATGGGACAAGTACAAGAGAGTGACCTTAGTCCTGAAGGGGAAGAAGGCCAAAAGGGAAGAGTTTCTGAAAGGGGATGACAATTAAGCTTCAGAAAATCTCTCCAGCAAAAGACTCTATCTTTGTTTTGGTTGAAACTGGTTCCACATCTTGCAGGTGATTGCATGTCTTTTGACATGTATTTTGATCTCTCCTCAAAAGAGAGCTCAAAAAATTTCCTTCCCATTTGAACCATGTTACCGATAGCTTCTCTTGAAATTCCATGGTTTATCAACTGCATAAGAAAACTAATAATTAGCAATAATTTACCAAGAGCAAGTTTATGTATTTGCCACCAGCAGAATACTTCACGTGATTATATTTTCAAATGAATTTTACTTGTAAGATCAAGAATTTAAAATCAAAAATTGTCAAAAATTGTCACTGTTGGAAAGATTTTAACTTGAACACCACCTTTGGCTCTCGGGTGATGAAATCAAAAAATGAAAGAATTAAAAAAAGACTAACCTGAAAAAATCCATATTCTTCACAGGCTTTGGAGAGGGAATTGAGAACTTGAACTCTATTAGGGCCATTTAATTGGGCAAAATCAAGAATGGGTAACTTGAGTTTTGGAAAACCATCTTCCTTATTTCTTGAAATAGGGCGATCTAAGATTGGCAAGATATATTTTGTAGGTACTTGTGTTATCCCTTTCTCACATAAATGCTTAACTCCTTTATGATAATCTTCTTCGTCATCATAATTAGATTGAAGTGGCACACCCATGGTAGAAGTAGAAGAGAATGTGAGTCGATAGGAATGTAAAGAGAAAGAGAAGAGGAGTGATAAGCTGATAGAGAATAATGAGAGAGAGAGGGTATATATAGGGAGTATGGAAGTGAAAAGTTTGGCGGAACACCGGCTCTGGTTTTGCAATAATAAGTCTAATGAACTGACTTTAATGGTTCTAATAATTTAATTTGAAATGGACTGAATCAAAAAAGACCATTGACTTGATTTAGTCAAAACAAGAGGCCGGTGGCCATCCAGTGAGGATATTAGCTTTCTGTATCGTTGCATGGCCCTCTCCAGCCTCTGATTTTGTATATATAAAATGGCAGGATTTAGACGTGAGAAATATAAGCCATCAATATCCTGCTAGAATATACTTAATTCAATTAATTATTTTAAAAATCACACACTTGCTAAACCACTAATAAAATCAAATTGAATAAATGGGATTGTGGAGTATTAATCATTCAATGTGCCCATGCCTTGTCTCACCTTCTTCTCTGTGGGTGAGTGTGGGCCTTTTGAGCGAAGGCTATGTCTGTCTTATTTGATAACAATAAGACATTAATTGATAGAAAGAGATGTCTGATTATCTTTGTTTTGCAAGAGAAGAAGTTATTAATAGTAATGTACTATTTCTGGACCTTTTAGAATATCTATTCAACGTATTTTGAACAATCTAGAAATTCTCAATTTCTATTTACCAACCAATTCTTCCTTCCCTTCCTTTCCTCTCGTGTGCCGATTAAGATGATCTAAACTGTTTGGCATGTGAAGATCCCTCTTTTGTCTTTTGTTTTCCATTCATTGCATGCTTTTATATATATTTATATCAATTTGTCATATCTATTTTGAGGATGAATCTCATTTTTCATGCATGGATTTTCAAGTCAGTTACTATCTTTTTTTTTCTCTTTGCTCACGTTTTTTAAAACCCATAAATTAAGTAGTGTCAACCATTTATATAATATAATCTAATAGCTATAGGTTAGGAAACACAAAATTTTAATTTCTTTTGTTTGACATTTTATAAATTATATAGCGTGGCCTTTGAAGATCATATAAATTAAAGTCTTCTTGATTTAAAAAAAAAAAAAAATTTAACAATTATCAATATGGCTCCATTGGAGATACATTAGGGCGATGTCATTGTACATGCGGTATTATATTTTAGTTTCATGTATAATAACCAGTTGCACGTATAATATTTTAGTTTCATCACCAACCACCATTTAATTTTTTAGTTGCATGTATAATAAATATTTTTCACTTGTATACAGAATTTATATTCTATAAATAATTTTTTTTATATAGTAAATTGTTATATATTCAAACACCATCTAAGTTAGAAGTTTAATGTACTGAGGGACGGAATTAAAAATCATAATTTATAAGGGGAAAGTAATCTTTGAATTTTCAAGAGAAAAAACTAAAGTTTAATAATAATTCTTTTGCGATTAAGGTGTTCATATAAGTAGAAGGTGAGCAAAATATCGATCAAACAAAAAATTTAACCCAACTGAATTCATGATTGGATTAATTTGTTCCCAAGAAGTTTTGATTGTTATTTTAAACGGTTTGAACCATAATATAGTTTATTTTCGGTTTGATTTTGCAAAGATTAATCAATTAAGTTTAAAAGTGAATCAATTTTAAAAACAATGTGAAACCAACTAAATCAAATAGTTTGATTCTAACATCAGTTTTGGTTCATATCAATTTCATTTCTAAAATTTTGATTTATTTTTTTTGCGTCTTGATTCAGTTCGACTTTAAATTGAACCAACCATTTGTACCCTCTATATAGAAAGTATCTAGCTATTGGCTTGGACTTAGATCTAAGCGTGTTGTACCTCCTTTATTATCTTTTTCTTTTATATGTTCTATTATTCAAAGTACGTAGCAATCTCGCACTTTTAATTATATCCATAAATATTTTAATGTATCAGAAAGACGTATTTACATCGATGGTAAATGTTTTAAAAATTTAGCAATGATAATTGGGGTCAACAGTATAAATAAATATAATTATTGTCAGCTACTAATTTAACTCCTTGCTTCAACCTTTACATATATATATTATTGTATATAATATAAAGTAATATGAACATTTTTAACATTAAAAAAAATGCATGTCAACTCTATAAAAGGAGAATCATTAAACAACCCCCTACTATATGAAATTTAAGTACCTATTTACTCTCACCCGCTTCAAACACTAAGCAAATGAATGTTGTATTTGCATATAATAATAATAATAATAATAATAATAATAATAATAATATCAACTCATGACCACCACATACCTGTCCCATATATGCATGCTGAGTTAATGCATCATCTAGTTGACATAAAATAAATAACAATATCTTTTTTTTATATTTATTTGTTTTGAATTTCGGATAAACGTAAATATGAATAATTCAAACTCAATGACCACCACATAACCTTCCTCAATATGCATGCTGAGTTAATGCAACTCATCTAGTTGAAACATAAAAATAAATATACAATATCGTTTTTTTTATATTTATTTGTTTTGAATTTCGGCATATAATTATATTATGATATTATTATAATATAAAATATATAATATATATATATTTTTTTTTTTTTTTTTTTTTTTGAAATCATCCTTTTATATTATTTGACTTCATCACTTAATGGAGTGAGGTTGGAGTACTGAGACTTGATTAGCTATATATATAATCAGGTTTGTCATCAAATGTTGTATGATATACCCGATATTTTGTGGGGTCCCTCCGACATGTGGGACCCATACACATTTGAAAAGAAAAAAAAGAAAGAAGAGATTCAAATGTGTGGGATCCACACACGTTTGAACGAAGAAAAAAAATATAGGCACGTTTATTTTTTTTTAATGGAGAGTGCCAAAAAAAGAAAGAAAAGGGAAAAGTAGACGCGTGATTAACGCGTTCACTGTGTCCCCTTCTCCTTTTTATAGGAGAAGGATTTTCACTTCAAAGCGTACAAAAACAAAAGCATAAAAATACATAGAGTGTATAGAAAATTTTAGGATTTTAGAAAAGGGTTCCTAAAATTGGGAAAGAGAAAAAATAGTGAGGATTGAAATTTTTAGGGTTTTTTTTTAAACACTTAGAGTACACTATTTTTGTAATCTCGTTTGTACCTACTATTTAGTAGAAGAATTATCGGATTATCGTTGGACGTAGCCCAATGAAACAGTTGAAAGGGTTGAACCGATCACGTAAATTTCGTATTCTTATTTTTTCATCTTGGCATTTAACGGTAATAAATTTAATTTTTACCCGTGATTATTTTTCTCGGTGGATCGATCGTCAATAATTCAATATTTAATATTGAGTATATGTGATAATAGTAATTTTTATTTTATTTTTAGCCACCGGGTATTTTTTGTTCATGGGCCCACACGGGCATTGAGTTAGAATCCGCACACGATAATGTTTTAAATATATATATATATATATATATAAGTCAAAACATAAATAAAATCTTTTTGTATTTTTTATAAAATTTTTTAGAATTTAAATTATTTCTTTACATTAGGGTGAGGCCAAAATGAAATTTTTATATATTTTTTAGTATAAAAAATATTTAAAATAATAACTAATTAAGTGAAATTATGCAGCAATTACTTAAGTGGGAAATTAAAGCAATTCTCATAATCTAGTACTCCCTTTATTCAGTTAAATTTAACATTTTTTCATTTATATAGAAATTAAGAAATTGGTTGAATTAGAAAAGAACAAAAAAGGATAATTGAGTAAATTTTTATCAATTTTCTAAACAATTAATGCTCACTTGTCGAAGATATGAGGAGACTTCAGAAAGGTTTTGTAGGTTAAACTTTTCTTAGGTCTATTATGGTGCAAGGTTTTGTACGTTATCTCTCTTTTGGGTACTCATTATCTTTCTCAGCCTTCGGAAAGAATGAACATATGGATTTTACATGATTTAGTAGAGACTTCATATCCAAATTTATCTTTGCAATTCTCAGAGCATAGCTCTCCTTTTCTCACCAGAATATTGTTTTTATTTTCTAAAGTGATAAGTTATCGGAATGGAAAGAGGTAGCCATTTTGAAATTTCAAAATGTGGCCTTTGATTATAGAATTTTTTTTTTTTTTTGGTAAATCACCTTGCATCCGACACAGTTGACTTACTCAAATTTGGTTTTTGTAGAGGCCCATTATGGGAAAGACCCTCTTAACTCAATTTTTTCTATTCATAATATAAAATTCGAATCTTGAACATTGCTTAAGAAATCCAGCCGTTCATTCTATTGGATCAACTGTTAATCGGTTATAGATATTTTTTTTATCATGCATTCCATTTGCAAGACAATAACAACCAGAAATATTGTGGAGAATTTTAGTTTTGTTATTACATAATTTATAATTAATATAATAATGAATGAAAAATATCTAAGACGGAGAAATGATGGACTTGGACCAACAATTATAGCAATTTCTATATTGAAACCCCTTTGGTGTTAGGTTTAGAGGGTTTGAAAGTGTTGAGCCCATTTTATAAACTATTTTCATGGGCTTGGGTTAGTTAATTAGATGGAAAGTGGTTAGATCTATTGATATGGATTTAACTTGGAAATTTCATCTTTTTTTATTCATTCAGCAGCGAACGAGCCGAAATATAACGGTAGACTATATAATAAGAATAAACTTTCTCTTGATTCTCTAAATTAGTGAAAATTGATAGTCAACTGATCTATTGGTATGGGTTCCTTGGCCTCAGCTTGTGTCTAAGAATTAGTGTTTTTTTCTATCTTTCTTTGGGGTTTTATTGTTTCTATTGTATTCAAAAATATTGCATAATCCATAATATAATGCAATTAATTATATTTTCAATGTAAATATTGCATTATTAATTACAGTTAAGGCTCTTTATTCTTTTTTGTAGAACTTTATCCTATTTGGGGCGTAATTACAGTTAATGCTCTTTATTCCTTCCTGTAAATGCGTTTAGCGAGGATTGAACCCGAAAACTCTTCTCGTATACCCAGTCACAAACCGTAGATATTGCACTAATATTTATAATTACATAAAACTATATTCTATTATGATTTACTAAATATAATTTTAGGGCAAAAGAATAAACAATATGTTATTAAACTTTGTGAGAGTTATTTTCGCGTGGATTTAGCCTCCTATGTGTCAAAAGAAAGCATGAGTTGGAACTTTTCCTTTTCATTGTCGTTTACGAATACGAGCGAAAGTTTTCTATAGTCGTGTAATATCTCAAACTAAAAGCCCAATGTAAGGCCGGGCTCTTAGGATTATGTTTCTTTTTTCCTTTCGAGGAAAGTGTGGCCCAAAAAAATAAAAAAAAAAATATTAGCATGAGATTCGAATTGATCCGCTTCCATGAATATTTGTCTATTTTCATAATAAATTTATTTTTGAGGAGCAATTGCCATCCCTCTCTATATATATCCAGTCCACTACCTTATCTTTTTGAAGCATACAAAGCAAAGAGCCTGGAGAGAGAGAGAGAGAGAGAGATGGGTTTCAATGAGAAGCAAGAAGCTTTGGTAAAGGAATCATGGGAAGTCATGAAGCAAAACATTCCTCAGCACAGCCTTCGGTTCTTCAGCAGGTAAATTTTTATTTTTATTTTTTTATAATTAATTAAATTTCAAGAAGATGTAAAATATATATTATTTAGCTATTTTGAGATAGATATAAGTAATGATTTTTTTTTTATATATATAATGAAATTAAAAAAAAAAAAAAACCTGCAGTATTTTAGAGATAGCACCTCCTGCAAAGGATATGTTCTCCTTTCTCAAAGACTCTGATGAGATTCCTCAGAATAATCCTAAGCTCAAAGTTCATGCTGTTAAGGTTTTCAAAATGGTCAGTCTTTTAACATTTTTTTCCATTCTTTTTCAAATTTTCATCCAACTGAATAATCTGAATTGAGTTAATTAGTTATACAAGAATTTCAATAAATTGTAAAAATTAAAAATATTTTAGGAGCTTTAGAGACTAATTTACGTATTAAACAATTGCTAATTGATTCAGTATAGACTATACTATTTAAAAGATGCTTGATCGCGTATTAATTGATCATAAAGTGCATATGCTATATCATATTTAATAAGATATGTATTTTTTTGAAGAAAATGATTCATATTTTTTTTTTAAATAAAAAAACTTATCACTATGAAAAATCATCCATGTGAGGCTGACATTATAAGACTTAAAAATTATTAGATTTTTCTTTGTTTTCTCCATTTACTTATATATATTGGGTATGTACACTTGATAAATTTAATAATAGCAATCAAACATAATTACGAGTATGCATTTTTATTTGACCTAATTTGAAAAAAACAAACATACAATTTAGATTTCTTATTAAAAATTATATATAATCATGTGAGTCAGCAATGACATTTTCTCCCTTTAAATAGACATGTGAGTCAGCAATTCAACTCCGGGAGAAGGGTGAGGTAGTGGTGGCTGATACTACTCTCAAATATTTAGGTTCAGTCCATCTCCAGAAAGGAGTTCTTGACCCTCATTTTGAGGTACTTAACTTGTATATAATCAATTTTTCTTATTAAAAATTATTAGTATTAGGTTTTGAATTTCTTTTATTATTATTATTATTATTATTATTATTATTATTAGGTAGTGAAAGAAGCACTGTTGAGGACAGTTAAAGAGGCTGTTGGAGAGAAATGGAGTGAGGAGATGGCTTCTGCTTGGTCTGAAGCCTATAATCAATTAGCTGCAGCCATAAAGGCTGAGATGAAAGAAGTTGCTCCTGCAACTGAGAAATCTTGAAACTTAATTTCATTATTCATAATTTATTTGGATATTTCATCTTATTTATTCTTAATAATTATGGCAAGAGAGAGTTGGTTTTGTGATTGTTATGATTGTTGAGATTAAGAAGCGGTTGCTCCCATATCCCAGCAGCCATGGGTTTCTGCATTTCGAAAATGTTTCTGCTTGTCTGTCAAGGATACATGATAAAATTGTTAAATTAGGAATGGGCCATAGAATGGCTTGGGACATTTATTTATCATTGTCTAAGTTGAGTAGCCCAAATATTACATAATGGGCCTCTCATTATAAAACTAGTTGCTGATGCCTCGAAAGCTAGCTTTCTTTTACTGGAAACGTTGAGCAGTTGATCTAACTTTTTGAATTTAGATAGAATGGTTCTTTACTTTCCTGTGAAATGTTTAATTAAGAAAAATGAATTAACTTATCACACAAAAATTAATTTTAATTTAAAACATGAACTTGTCAAATTAAACATTTCCATTCTACATCATAAATTGTTCTTTTGACTAATTCAATATCAATCCAATAATTTAAAAACATAACATATTCGTTTCAACATAAATAATTGAATGCAAATAGTTGAAAATATGAATTTAATAAAAAGGTAATTTTCCTCCCACTAAAGTGCATTTCTCAAGAAACAAATTTATGTTCTTATTTTTATAGGGGTTCAGATTGCTTACCGTCTAGACCAATCCCTTATCGATGAAAAGCCAAGTATTTTAATTTTTAAATATAAAATTGGAAGTGGATAGATGGTGGGATGATGATCCCTACATGCTAGCATAGAAGCAGACACTATTAAACCAAATCAATTATAGGATGGAGATTGGAGACCCAAAACTTTGACATGCAATGATCTTGCAAGTACGATTTCTTTTTATCCTCCAAATTCTATTATTCATATGTCATGCAACCAAAGATTTTCTTCTTGGCCTGTCTTGTTTCCTTTCCTCTTAATTAATTTATTACATTCCTTGCACTTTCCTCATCTTATAGAACATCTCCTAGTGTTGGGATTATACTAATTAAAAAGCTCAAATTAATAATTAATTATAAGGCTATAATATACTATGAGAATGGTTTAATTAAGTAGTAATTGCATTTGCTTTTTAGACTAATTTTTTTAAAATTTCTGTCTATTCTGGTTTTTTTATTTATTTTTTATATGCACCCAACCAATAATTGATTGTCATTTGAAAAAACTATCACTTTTTATTACTATTTTATCCATTTTTTCCCAATTGAAAAAATACTCCTACTTTTTTATTCATGCCAATTGTCATTATTAGATTTGTAGCTGTATACACTCGGTATAAGTAAGGTTTTTTTTTTTCTCCATACTATATATAATTTTTGCTAATTCTGGTTATTAAATTCTCGGAATATATACGTACAATCAATATAAATAAAATTTTTTCTGTAATATATTAAATTTTGAATTTAATTTTCGTGATTAACGGTGAAGGATAAGTTTCGATATATATAACTTCAACTTTGTGATGCGCCCTTGAATTCATTAGAGAAGGGGATGTAATTTCGATAAACACGCAAAATGCTTGAATTTTTTGTACCAATCAAAAAATAAATATAAATTATATATATAAAAAAATCTATTATCATGATTAATTTTCTGTTCTTATGATATTTGAGAAAAGTGTTTTGAGTGTTCAATCAAAATAGTGGCAATACAGTAAGTTTTACATCTTAGGTTAATTCATGATTGCTTGATGAGCTTTTTGTCTTAAGAAGTATCTACCAAATAACAACATTGGTAAAGTGAGCATCTCGAAGTCCGAGAAATGGGATTCTGAATACCAGAAACACACTTGATGAGTCACAACAGATTTTGACAGATAACGTTCTCGTCTTACCTCATAAGACAAAAGGGATGCGTTTCAGTGACAAAATGATGGATTTTGGGATCTCTTTTCTTCCACTTTTTTCAGATTTTCTTTTCCACATCGTCCCCTTTTCCCATCGTTTTTCTCTTTTCTTTTCTTTCGGCAATAAAGACTGCAAAAACATACCCATATGCGCAATGTAGAATGTGATATTATTCAGCCTTAACACTGCGTTTTTGGACGTTAGGCTTTTCCTTTTTAATTTTACGAATATAATATTAAAATGCCAAGCAATAAATTGACCATCTAAACCGATTGGATCAACACAAATAAGCTGCATTTTCAGTTCATAAAGTGACCATTTAACTAAAGAAAATAGATAAGTGTAAATGAATTGCATTCTCATACGAATTTTACTTGCGTTTTTAGAAAAACTTTATATATAATGTGTTCATTTAATTAAATAGGATAGATAAATGGAAATAAACTGCATTTCCAGGTGAAGTTTATCTATAAAGTGATCATTTTACTCAAAAATGATAGATTAATGGAAATAAATTGCATTTTAAACGAATTTTATTTGTATTTTAAGAAAAGCTTTATATATAATGTGTTCATTTAACTAAATAGGATAGATAAATGGAAATAAACTGCATTTGCACACAAATTTTACCTATAAAATGATCATTTAACTAAAAGAGATGGATTAGTGGAAATGAACTATATTTCTAGATAAACTTTACTTGTAAGATTAAGGAATTCAAAATCTGAAATCGTATCGGTGGGGTAACTTTATATAAATTATAGCACACTCTACCATAGTGTGAAAACACATGCAAATCAAATAAATAAAGTGATGATTTAATTTATAATATGGAGTAGGAAATATGCTAAAGAAAGATGTGATAATTAATACGAAGGACAGACCGTTTTTCTTTTTCATGATCTTATTCTCGTTCAAGATAGCTACACCAAGTATAAAAAGATTCTCCTTTTTGGTTGTCTAGACTTTAGAGCATAAGCATATATAGACCATATGGTAAAATATTAAAAATTGACAAATAAAATAATAAGTTGTTGGTGCTAGATTCCACTCATTTATGAACTTTGATTCTGATGCATCTAAACGTTTTGTCTTCAGATTGGAAAAATAAATTTGATGTGATGCATCTAAAAAATAAATTTATTTTACAAAATAATGTAAATTTTTTTTATTTAATTACATTAATTTTTTTTAAAAAAAAAATCTCTAATTTTGAAGTCTGGCTTCGCTTCTAATTATAGTGGTTTGCTTCATTTTAAATTTATAATTATATCATGCATAATATATGCTAATTTACTCTACATTAATGAATAATATATATTTAACTTTTTGATTTGACAACATGCTTTTTAATTAAAAAAAAAATAATTAAGATCTAGATGCTTTTCAATTTATTCCGTCAAAAAAACAAAATGGAAACAAAAGAGTAACTTAAGTTTTAAGCTCTCTCAAAAGCTTCACTTTTTCTTGATTAATTAATAATCAATGTCATAGAATTGAATAATTAAAACTAAGATCTAATCTATAATTCCTGTTCATGGCATCAATTATAACACGTAAAGGTCAAGGCAGCCAGCCACTATACGTATACATACATACACATGTATAATCAATTATTCCATGCTTTGAACCTAAGCTTGCATGGCATGGCATGGCCATGTGAGTTGGTTGAGAGCAACAGTGGCAAATAGGAGCGGACATTTTCATATGATGATTTATTTGTGGAATATTAGGCTTCTTCTTAATAATTAATTGTCTAGCCAATGTTGGAAATGGGTCATCTTTAGATGTAACTTTGCCCCCATAATTTAAATTTTGTACATCACCAATTACTTGCATTTCGATACTAATTTTTAGAAAATGATAATACAATTAATTCCATCCACATAATATTATAATGGCTAATAATTCTACTTTTTAATTAAGTATTTTTTTCTTATATATATTATTATATGCCTTTCATGTTGACCAATCAAAAAATATATAATCCATTCCACATGAAAGTTGTAATTAAAATGAATCCAAAAGTAGAATTTTAGGTAACTTATATATTATATATAAATTTAGGAGACAATTAGACGTTATTGCTAAATATAATTTTATTATATTACTGCAAAACATTCGTCAGTAAATACCAGTTGCCAGAAATGGGATGGACATGGCGGTGAAGGTTAGAGAGGTATCAGGCAAAAAGCCAAAATTTTGAGATAATAATATTTTTTTTTTTTTTTTTTTTTTTTTTGGAGTATGGTAGTGATGAGCAAATTTATTAGTTGTGGATAATTAATTAGTTTTATTTTTTGTTTATAATTTTAAGTGTATTTTTTCGCAATGACTTCCTACATTCATTAATATTATTGGAAGACCCTCGAAAAAAATCAAATGATGGTTAATGAGAAAAAAAAATATTATTCTTATCAATTCAACTAATTCCATCGGATAAGGCATTGTTTTCTAACTTGTTACGATATAAGACATGTACATGTACAAACAATTTTAGTTGAGATATGACAAGATAGAATTAGCTATGTGTATGATCATGGTTTGAAAAGTGAGATGCTAAATTCTTATTTCTAGATGTGGATTGAGTTTCCTTTTCCATATTTCCTCACCAAATGTTTTTTTTTATCTTTTAAACTTTACTCACCAAATATTCAATTATCTATTTATTTTTTTTAATTTATTAAAAACCAATAGATCGAAATAATACTGCCGCCTATACTATAAGAGTACAGAGTAGTCCCCCACTTAATTTAATAAAATTTCTATAGTGAAAAAGACTTGAACTCAAGACTTCTTATTCCTCATAAAAGATCATTTATTTATTTAGTTTTATTGGGACCATATATATAATTTGACATATAGGTCATTAAGTGTATACAAATGAAATGCAAATGATCCCTTACCCAAGTGGTAAGGGTGATACCCAAATTCGATTCCTGATAATATAATATTTAATTCTTTCTTTTTAATGAATTGTATTGTTCTCAATGGATTTTATGGATTTTATATATTTTAATGGACTTTTAAATTGGTGTAACTACTTACGAATAATCTAGAGTATATAAAAATTCATTTGTATATAATATTAAATGAATAAAAAAGAAAAGCATATACAATTAATTTTGTTCGAAGGGACACATAATATTGTCAAATCATGATAAAAGACAAAAAGACATCACACATTCAACATTAGAAGCCATGACACACCACATTGCCTAATTTTGTGCTTATTGATAACTACAAACCCTTCTCTCTCTCTCTCTCTCTCTCTCTCTCATGCACATAAACGCAAATCATTTTAATGTTTAATTACTAATCCCAAAGCCGTGTAAAGCACTCAAAGCTAACATGTCAAACCATCTTAACAATAGTTAACTTAAGAACTAATAATAGTAATTTATTCTAAAATGACAAGATTGTGAATAACAAGACAAGCTACCAACCTCATCTACCATATCCTCATCTCCCTCAGCAAATCCTAGTTTTAGTCTCCTCATTGATTAAATATAATCACAATTAATTAAAACTATAATTGCACCTATACACCATACAAATTCATTAAATTCAAAACAATTACAATTACCCAAAATTCAATATCAAAAACAAATGCAAGAAATAAATTCTGGGTATATATCTAATTATTTGAATGGATTCAAATAATTCAGATTAATAAAACAATTATTAGATCGATCCATACAATCTGAAATTAAATTTCTGATATATCACAAAAAGAGAGAGAGAGAGAGAGAGAGAGAGAGAGAGAGAGAGACTGTATGCAGCTGCATACCTATAACAACATGTCTTGGCAGTTAAGCGTGTAATACATACATTTCCTTTTTTTAATGAACCATATTTCTTACAGAGCAATATCATCATAGCTTAAATTTAGAGTGGCAAACGAAAAAGGAAGGAGGAGAAGAAGAAGAAGTAAAAGGTAATTATATGCTGCCGTTTCATTTACAAGGGCATGCACCGTCTCTTTGGAGCAACCGAATCAAAACTTGACCGAAACAAAGATTCCACTTCTTGACTCTTCACGATCTGAAAGAAATCAAATTCTGATAACTTTCTTTTACAAGAAGGCATCCTTCTCGGTTTCCTTGGCGCCGGTGGACAAGATAAAACGGCAGGAATCTTGTGTTCCTCAGATGTCGGAGTTCGACATCCGTCATCACAGTCACTATCGCGGTTTCCATTTTCTCTTCGAATTTCGACGTCGTCGGATCCACTGCAAGATTGTAGGGTTTCAACCTTCGTAGAAGGAACTTGAATTCTCGGCGAACCTTGGCGTAATTCAAGATCAGCAGACATTATCAAGAATCAAGAACCAAGAAACAAGAAACAAGAATAAAAAATCAAGAACCAAGAACCAAGAAACAAGAAACAAGAAACAAGAATCAAGAATCAAGAATAAAAAAAAAGAGAGAGGGAGAGGGATGGGAAGGAAAAAAAAAAATATATGGTGTGTAAAGATTTGTAGGTATTTATGTGTAAGGAAGACAAAAGAGAAGATGAAGGCGTGTTTGGCAAGGTAAGAGAGAGGGGTTTGTTGGATACTTTTTTTTTTTTTTCCTCCTTGTATTCTTGCAATTGTATCTGGTAAGGAAAATGACATGGATGTATTAGTCTGAAAGGAAAAGGAAAATTGAGTAGAGAAGAGAAGAGTAACAGAGAATATAAATATATAAGGTTTTAATTTGTTTTCCTTTTTGTGAATTGCTGAGTTGGGAATTTATAAGCTTTTTTTTAGCTAAGCTCACATGACACTTGGCAAAGCAATTGGTTAAGATCTAGCTCTAGTTATATGCTTTTTTTTCAGAAATGCAGATTTGGAGGCATGTTACTGTCAAATATTTGCTTTTTAATTAATTATTATTATTAAGAAAAATATAATTAAGAAATTTCCTTAGTAATTATATATTATTATAAATAATTTTTTGATAATAAAGAGCGGTAGTATCTGCTAAAGTTTTTAATATACAGCTCATCAACTGGCTAAAACACCTTGGTTGCTTTTTGCTTAAGTGTGTCTTGTGAGCTAAAAGTTAATCATCCAACTAAGCAATCTTTTTTTATACTATAGTTTTTTTTTTTTTTAGAATGTAAATTAATTATTTTTTTTATATAGTGAAATATAATTTTTTCATAAATGTATATAATATCTCATCAACCATTTTCATTAAGAAATTTATAACCCATTTATTTTTTGTCAGAAAATAACCTCCCATTAGTAATTTTACCATTACTCTCACACACTTTTCCCCCTTTGTTAGTTAGCTATATTTAAGTGGCATGATTACCTTCTTATTTTAGCCATTTCATTTCATTTGCAATTAAAAATTTTCAGATTTAGTAGAAATATAAACTTAATTTTGCAATATCACTCTATGTATACAATTTTATTATAATTAATTTTGATCCTCGACGATTTATAATTCGAAAAACTTATTTTTATTTTGAAAACAATGAGCTAATGCCGCATCATCAAAATATGACCATTCTACTCCCTATATATGAAGTCGTGTTAATTTAATTTCAAATTGTTAGACCTGAAAAATTGAATTTGTTTGCTATAAAAGAACAATTACAGAAGCAAGAAGAAGTCACAATTAGAAAGTACACGTGTGACCTGTGGAAGGTTGAGAAAATTGAAGTGGGTTAAGTATGTTGGTTAAAGAGAAGGTAAGATTGTTGACAGGCCACGTGTCAGTGCTGGCTCGTCAATGATAAGTTAAGTTCAAAGACAGAGACACATAGGATAATAGTATTTTTTTTTTTTTTCAAAAAAAAAAAAAATTTCCGGATCTGATTTCCGGTTTCATGGACTAGTTCTACTTTTTCTAGATTCATATTCTGAACGTGACGTTTACGACGTTATTGGCAAAAAGAAGATAACTGTATTGATGGTAAATTACTGCTCCACGCGCTGCTTTCAACTGTGCAAGACATTCGCTTAAATATCTTCCATAATTTCTGTAAAAAATTATTAATTATTATTGGAGTAGCTAGATCTCAATCCTCTTGTATATTCTTGTCCGATAGGCTTGCAAGTGGAGTAGAATCACTCTCTATTAGCATATATTCGTGTCGAGTAGAACTTCAAATGGAGTAAAGCACTCTCTTTCAAATTAAAAAATGGTAAATTTATTGAAGTAGTTATCTCAATCGTCTTATATATTGGCGTGTATATTCATATATATTCGTGTTAGGTATGTCTACAAATCGGGTAAAACACCCTACTAAGTTTTAAATGGTTAGGCCTACGTATAAAAAAGATAAATTGTTCTCTACCAAATTTTAAAAGGAGAAGTCCATCTACAAATGGGCAGAGCACTTTCTATCAAGTTTTAAAAGGGTGAGCTCACAAATGAAAATTATCACGTTAGTAGAGTCGTCTCTTGTATGAATTCTGCAATACTTGGCCTGGATATAGTCGAAATCCAGTGGAATTTCAGATACTGGTGGCTATATACTAAGAAGAATGAGCTCACAAATGGGATAAAATGCTCTCTTACTGAATTTTGAAAGTATTCCATACTCAAGACTCAAATTCAAACCCTTAAAAACTATTATGAATAGAATGGTATTGCAAGAGTATAAGCCCCTCCCTTGGCTTGTCTCCTAACATAACGAATGAAAATATGTTAGAAATAGGTAGCGAGCTTTTCTGGACATACTCATCCTAATCCAATTCATTTAAAGGGATTTGAGTATTAATTAAATATGTATGAATCATATATGAATATCAAATTTATTATCTGTCATGGATTAGGTTTGATATAGATTTAAAGCTATTCAATATTTTAAACTCATTGTGTGTATGTTATTATTGTGAATTTTTAATTTATATTTAGATGTTTTGAATATAAATTAGTTTTTTTTCGATATTCTTTTATTTATATTAAATGGATTTAGTTCAAATAGTAAATAACCGTATTAATAGATTTATGACAAATATCGACAATGAAATGAATATCTTAAATGAAATTAGAATGAGTATGAATAATTTAAAATTACAGTGTTTTAGTAGCTTCATGAGTGCTTTAAATAGATTTAGAACAATAAAAGTGATGAAATTATTCGAAAGGATATTCCAAAAATTAACAGATACTCTTCCCGTTTCCATATGAAGTTAACTAAAGGTTCATATTATAAGATTTGAGACCACTTATGCTTTTATTTATAAAGATTGATTTATCTAGACTTCGTTTATGAGTCCATTCATGAGCCAAATTAATGAAAAGTTTTTTTTTTTTTTGTTGAAATTAGGTATTCCTAACGAGAAGAAAATGGTAAAAGTAAGAATAATTTTTAAAAAATTTTTATTTTTGTCGGTTTGGTCCATATATAGATTTGATCTAAACAAGTATGTTCCGTTTTCATATAATAATAATAATAATAATGTTTTTTACCTTAAATATTGAAAACGACTAATAATATCTCATCAAATAATAAAGCGGGTAATGAATTGGTAGTTAAATCTGGTGTACCTAAGCTAGCTAATCACTAATTCAACTCATTCATTTGTGTTTAGTACCATTAATAGCATGACTTCAATGAAATGACAATCTAACCTCATAAATCAATGCAATAAATAATTTTCTACACTTATTAACGCATGTGTTTCCTTTCCCCACCATAAGTTCCGAACCTTATTATCAAGATCTTAGTATTAGAAACCGCTTATTTCAGAATATATTTACATTTAAAATAATATTGTACATATATATAATAGATGATAATATATAAAATTAATTATACCTTTAATGATCATTTTTTTACATTTTAACAACAATTGTTATTAAAATTTTATTAAATAACCAATATGCATCACTAACAACTATGGTCTACCCCCCACCAACAATCAACAACATCTGTAACTACTACGTACAATGAAACCAAACAAGCCCTAATTATAAAAAGGAAAAAAAAAAAAAAAAAAGGTCTATCCCCCCACCAACATCAACAACATCTGTAAATACTACGTACAATGAAACCAAAACAAGGCCCTAAATTATTAAAAAGGAAAAAAAAAAAAAAAAGTTCTCATGAGCTTTGCATATTTAAACTGCTTATTGGCTATGTGAGAATTTTTAACTAGTAATTGGTATTTGAGCAATCTTGATTAAGATTGAAAAAAAAAAAAAAAAAAGTCTCATTGAGCTTGCAATAAACTGCTTATTGGCTATGTTGAGAATTTTTAACTAGTAATTGGTTTGAGCAATCTTGATTAAGATTAAGTAATTAGAACCATATATATATTTATAGCTAAAGTTTCTTGATTTGAATCTTAGAAAATCTCATCCTTTGAACCTGAAATTTGAAGTTTCATACCTTATAATCTAAATGTTACTCAAATGCCTCCTAGCTTGTAGAATGTGCAAGAAACAATATACTGATTTACCAAACGGGCTCAGTTAAAATTATTTGATTATTTCCTTTTTTTTCAAAAAAAAAAATGATTAGTTTCCCACTCTCATGAAAAGCGCGTAGAGACAAATGTGAAATAAGAAATATGAAATAAGCATAGGATACCATGTTAGAGTGATGAATACACCAATCTACCAAAAGATTTTTGTGTTATAAATTAAGAATATGAGAATATGGATTTGGTTTTACCCATTACGTGATGAATCTTTCCACGTGAACTGTCTCCCTCACCCACTTCTGCATGCTTCGTTTGATTTTCACCTTCCCCCCCTAATTAATTATTATTTTCCTATCTATTTTAAACCCTTAATCCATAATATATCCTGATTCATGCAACATCCATTCCCGTTTTTTTCCATGTTCTTATCTCCATTTCATTAAAATAATTTTTTTATGCTAAGTTTGATTTTACATATCCAATCAATTATTGAATAACTTAGTTCATTGCATCTGTTTTATTTCATGCATATTGAAATAAAATTTATATACGTATTTCCACGTTTGAATTCTCATGATTCAATCAATCCATAATGTTCTTTTTTTTCTTTTATTAACTTATATACGTATTTCAACGTTTGAATTCTCGATAATATTCAAATAAAATTTTAATAACAATTTCGATTTCAAGTTTTAAATATCTAATAATACATGAAAGATTCATTAATTTCGCAATACAGTCTATCTTTACTAATAATAATAAGATAATAACAATAGCTTCAATAACGGAAACTTAGGTGGAATAAGATAATTGAGATATTTTGACCTACTCTGATGTGTTGACAAGTATCATTAGTGAAAATTGTGCAATTAAGTATAGTCATTTTTGCAATGATTGTCATTAACTCAAATGCAATCAGAGGTCAAAATACTTAATGTCATTCTCTGCTTTTTGCAGGCATTTCTTCTTGGGTGAATAAACAACAAACATCACATTACAATATTCAAATCTTTAACCTAATTAACCACCACTTTATTCCTTATGTCAAACATTGCTTAAGAATTTTAACCTTTTCTTGCTTTTTCTTTTTGTTATATAATAATACATAATATATTATTTTTTTGAATATTGTCTCTTAGAGGGAAACTACGTAAGAAGCCTAATTGAGCTTAATTAATTAATTAATTAATAGAAAGGAGAACAATTAAGTTAATCAAAAGTTCAAAACTGCAGTAGATCTGTTAGCTTTTTTTGTTTTTTACCGGTATTTTATTTCTCTTTAATTTCTTGCTTCAGACACAATTGCATTGCATGCACTATCGCTAATCTCATTTTATAAATGATTCTAAAGACATATTCTCCTAACATGACAGATCTAGAAAAAAATATATATAATAAAATATTGTGAGAAGGATCAATGATGTACTCGTTACAGTAGTAAGCAGTCTCAATTCTTATAAAGATTAAAACACAAGTTAACTAGGTATCAATTAGAATTGTAAGCAGCCTCAAATTTCGTGAAAGTGATAATGCAAATTTGATACTCGAGAAGCGCATTTTACTAGAAAGTAAAAAACTTTTACGTTTTATGCCTGTGTATTTTTATATGTGCATATACCGCTATTCTTTGTATCAAACTGACGTAATAATATTAAAATTTAAACATTTAATGGCTCACTAAAAATTTTACTATTTAAATCAATTTTGTTTTTCACTTTGTATATTATTCGAATTTGAATATTAATTCTACTTTTATATGCTTAATAAAGAAATGTTGTTGTGTTTTTAATCAATAATCAATAGATCATTGAAAGTAAAATGTATTCTTAGTAAAATTTTCTTATAAAAGCAACAATTTTGAAATTTGGAATTATCGTTATTAAGAAAATTTTGTCCGAACTTCATATTGGTCGAACATAAAGACAAATATAGTTTAAAAAAAAATAGTTGTTTAATCCAATTGATATATTTTGTTTGGAAATTTCGAAATTACCAAAAAAAAAGAGAGTAGTGATAGTATAGTAGTTGATGATTGCTTGGCCATTTAGCGAAAAAAGGGTAGCTGCTACAGCTGGAGACATTATTGGGCTATCATGTGGATGTTTATCAGTTTTGGTTTTTGGCTCTCTTGCACATGGCCCTAATTAACCATCTCCATCCAAAAGAAACAGTCATTTCAACAACCATCATAACCATACAATGTGTGAATCACACGGAACCTTCCCAAACAATAACTTTTAGCAATTTGATGTATACTTTTTTCTAAATTAAGTTGTTTTAGAGCTTATTTCGTAAAATTAATTATTTTACTAATTGTTAATTGTTTAACTAGTATTTCATTGATTATTTTAATGGTTTATAATCCATTTCTTCAAATTTTAAAAATTAATTAGTACTAAGCTATGTTACCGAATACTATAAATAATAAAAATTAATGTTTTGACTAAATTAACATGAAAAGTTATTGTCGAACATGCATTAATAGTTGTTAACGGATTAATTAGCGTTTCATCAAATGTTAAAAGGAATAAGCCTTTAAACTCTAAACATTAGTATAAACACTATATTATCGAAGAATAATAATAAAACACACTTAACAAATAACTGATTGTCATTTAGCAAAAATTTCACTATTTATTATTACTATTTTATTCTTTTTTCAATGGACAGAGACGCATTCTTATTTATATTAAATATTATTATTATTATTATTAAATTTGATCAATTATCATTATTAAATTTGATAAATGAATCATAAATGCAACAATTTCTATTCAATAAGTGACAATTTATAAAATCATAAATTTTACACGATTTAATATTACTATACAGTAAAATTGTTGATAATTTAATATTTAAACATTCAACATTATTGCCATGCCAATTGAACATGTTTAATTATTAAATGTTTGATTTAGAATTGTTATGACATGTAGTTTTGCTTCTTTTGGTGCATAAATTAATTTAATTCATTAAGTTTTTTTCGTTAACTAATATTTTGTTAACAAAATGGAGATTTACAAAGTGAAAAGCTAAAGCAATTACATATAATTTGCTATACTAAAAGCCCCATCAAAGGAAATATTCTAATAGAGATTGATTCAGAAACAATTTATATTGCCTCTCTTAACATTGAAACCTAGGTAAGTTTATACATTACTCGAGGAAACGAAGAACTGAAATGAACTACTTAACGGCCCTGCAAAAATTATAAACAACAGATTCAACAAAACTTCACTAGGACCAAAATTTTACGAAAGCATCTACAAACGACTTAATAGTTCCCCACAGCGGGTTAGTTTCTGCATGCTTCTTAGAATCTCCTTCCCAAGATTTACTGCCAATAATTCATGCAAAAGACTAATCAGTAAAACGTGTTCCGGTTGACAATTTAGAGGAAATTGAAGATTGGAGGTGAAGTTGTACATATACTTACAGATTAATTCTGTCTAATTTTGGATTGTTTGCTTTCTGAGAGCTGCCACTAGGTTGAACATTAGCTTTATTATTATTAGTAACCTCTTCTTGGGATACTGTCTCGCTGCTATTGATGCTGCCATAATTGCCATTTAGAGATCCAGTTTGGGTCCCATTTGGTGCATTGAAAACCTGCAAAAGAGTTAGTAGCTCAGCAATTATTCGAAGCCAAAATTTTGACAGTATAGACTTGGCCTTTATTTTCTGATTTGTCTGGTTAATACATTCACTCAAGTAAAAATATGTGACAAATTTCAAGCTTTACATGTCATAAAATTACCCCATTTCCTGCACCATGCATTACTTCCAGAGCTTGATTGAAATTTATAACTAAGCACAAGACAGATTGAGAGAATGCTTCATTGACCAACTGCTGTATAAGCTACTAAAGCCAAGAAAGCCGAACCCAAGTGATTATGGAAAAAGAGAGAGAGAGAGGGAAAAAAAAACACTCATTCGCCAAATATGTGCAAGTTAATGGTGAATCTTAAAAACTGCACACAGGCACTGCAAAAGGGTCGGGTCAGTTGTCGGGCATAAAAACAGCCTAACAGCAAACTTCCACTCGCCATAATATTAAGGCATTAATTCTTAGCATACCTACACAACTATCCAGCATATTATATGACCAACTACACAACAATTCTTTCAATATCTATCAAATAAGCACACTGATAGTCAGCAATGACAAGTACATTGAAGGGTTATGCGCATCACACTTGCACCAAACCGAGCAAAGTTGTTGATCATGTGTTTCGAAGTAGTCAACCAAAGCAATACATTGCAATCAAAAAACAAAATCCTAGAATGCATCTGTTTCCTGAGAAACTTTGATATTTTCATCCAATACACAATTCCTGTTCTGTTTTTCAATTTGGACACATGTTTGTATCATAATACCCAATAATAGCATTTGAATTTTTGATAGTTTACCAAATAATTAACTCAAAAAACTAAAAAGATTCTTTTTGCATTTAGCAAACATAAAATTAACACCTCATTAAATATCATGGACATCCAGGCTAACCTACGTAACCAAGATTTAAATCAGATCTTTAACTAGTTTTCACCAATTTAGTCGCTTCATCTTCCCTGTTATTTTCATATTTGATTTGCATATACTGAGTTAAGTCCACCTCCCCTCCCCACCCAAAAAAAAGACAAAAAAAAAAAAAAAAAAAAAAAAAAAAAAAAAAAAAAAGGGCCTTCTCATAAAAAAAAAAAAAAAAAAAAAAAAAAAAAAAAAAAAAGGGCCTTCTCATATAAGCCACACATACATACAAACTTACCTTAGTTTCAGCAATTGCCTTATCATTGTGGGATGATTTAACCTCAACGTCTATGGCAACCTGAGTATCATGCACTACACAATCCTTAGTAGCAATCAAATTTGAGCTTCCTGATGGCAGATCTGCTGCGGTTTCCAAGGCTTTCTCATTCACCAAACTGGAGCCTCCTTCCAATGAAGGACCTGCTAGTTTTTCCTCCTCTTTATCATCCACCAAACAGGAGTTATTTGACAAATTCATTCCATCTGGATTAGAAGCAACGGATCCTGGTCCCAGGGGTACCTTTTCAACATCTTTTTCTACTAAGGTTCCACTTAAATCCCTCAATGTGCTGAAAGTTTCATCCAAATTGTCAGGTAGCTGAGTAACAGGTCGTAATGGAAATGTTTCTACAATCACATCTGCCATTTGAGTTACTTCAGTCCTAGTTGCGGCTACTTCTTCCGCATTTTTCTTTGGTTCCTTTGCTTCACTTACTTCAGCCTTTGCAACATTTATTTCATCAAATTCTACATTTGTAACAATTACAGGTCTCCCATTAATGACTTGTTCATTGTCAAACCCCAGCTGTTCTGGCTTAGCATAATGCCTATCAGAAATTAAATATAGTTCTTCACCCGTATCAAGAAGTTGATCAGATTCAGAAGGGCTTCCATTTGTTGATATGGAAAAAGAACTTCCAGGATGTGTGGAAATTGTACCCAGTGGCGATTCCTCTAATAGCTGATCAGCATTCTGCTCAAATGGCAATGACTTAGCAGGACCCAACACTCTATTTTCTTGGATTATTTCTCGAACAATCTCTCTTACTGTGTAGAAAGACCCACCAACTTCCTTGTGCGTGAGCCTTAGAGAGGGGAAATTTCCATTGTTTAAACTCTGGTACCTGCAAGAAAGTCTTTTTATGACGTATGCAAGATGCATATTTGTCTATGATAACTTGGCCTATGGCAGCAGAGAAAGGCTAAGAAGAAGATTATCTGAAGAATGATCTCATATCACATGGTAAATCTATCGGCTGTTACTTTGCATTTCATAAACCTAATAATACGTATAATGAAGATACCATAGAGGTTTCTAATCTTTGAGTTATAAATTATTTCACTCTAGTATGCCAGTGAAAACATCCCTAGTGCACCTACGAAATTCTCTCTTTCCAGATCAAGAAACATGAACTCCATATAAACAAAACGAATTCCATGAAACATTCACCAAGCTCATTTACAACACAGTCAGAATCTATCTTCAAGCTGATTATATGCAAGCATATGACACAAGCAGACATGAGAGCAACTTCTAGAATGAGAGGCAAACAGAAGAAATTTTACATTCAATCTGTTATAAAATAGATGGGAACGAGGAATATCGGAATCAATTAGTGATGCAATGTAAGAGTAGCAACTATCTAGGGAACATATAGAATTAATTAACAGGAAGAATTTAACTAAAGAGAACCATGCAAATTACTTCTTTATGAAGGATTCAACCATTTCCTTCCTCTCCTCCTTTGAACGCCGAACGCGAGTTTTCCTTCCTGCAGACTCATTGCTCTTGGCAAGGGCATATGTTTGGCGAGCCCAGCCACCCTTTATAGCATGCATGATCCAAACACCCCCACCCCCTCTCAGCATGCACACCTGCATGTTGAAGGACTAAAATTAGAACGCCAAAACCAAAGACAAAACAAATCACTTTAAATCTAGATACTTTCATGCAATCAAACAGCCATGAACATTCCCAAATCCAAACAAAGCTGGGCAGCAATAATTTCATGAGTGAAACTAGCAACATCGAAAGATGGCTTCCCAGTAAATGAAACAATTATCATATGGGATAATCAAACTACATAGTCGACAAGACAAGTTTTCAAACTACATATATACCTCCATATCAAAAGTGCATATTGTTAGCAGATAGGGAACATCAAAAGTGCATACAAAAACATCAAAAAATTATCTCAAAATTCAAAGAGAAAACAAAAAATACTAAATGATTAATGACATCTAAGCCCATTTCTAAAAGAGAAATATAAGCAAAGGAAATGCATTCACACTCTCGTGCAGCCACACATACAAATATAGAAAGAGAGAGAAAGAGGTACTTTTTCTGGTTCCAAAAATAAGAAAAATAAATCGCAACCAAGGTAAATAATTGCGCAAAAGCCCAATTGCATAGCGATGTAAGCTTTTCCAATACCAAATGCTGAACCTTAAACAATTCACATGACACTTTCTTCCTCTTCCCTACTTCAAAATCAAACAGCGCAATAATTTAACCCAATAAGACCGCATATCCTCACTACCAGCAAATCCCAGACAGAAAGTGGTGGGAAAACACTGATAAACATAATAGAAGGGAAAACCAGAGAATTCCGATAAAATGTAAAAATTTCTAGTTAAAAAAAAAAAGAAGCAAAGAAAAAGAAGAGGTTGTACAACCCAAACACATGCATAAACATGACGATTGAGAAAATAAAAAATTAAAAAAAAAAAAAAAAGCAATCTGATTTTTTTTTTTTTTCTGAAATCCATGTTACATGCACAAGTAAGGAAGAAGACGAAATCTACCAAAAAAAAAAAAAGGATATATCGAGGGAGATGATACCTGATAATTCTTGAAGAACGAGTCAGAGAAGGAAGAGAATGGGCATAGCATATAGATATGGGTTTTGGAGCGACTTAAAACCCTAAGCACTAAGCAGTGTAATGTTCCAAACTGTAGATAGTAATATTTGTTTGCCAGCTTGTATTGTATGGTAAATTTAAAATTTAAAAATAAAATAAAATTCACGACCTAACTGGATTCGGGCCGGACTTCTTTATCCGAATTAAGCAAGCTAAGCATAAAATAATTTGCCGTAGGCCCAACATTGTCTTTTGTGTAATTTTGATTAGTTGAGAGTAAAGGTACAAAAGCGAAAACAACTCAATATTATATCATATGATTAGTTGAGAGTAAAGGTACGAAGACCAATTTGCCCCTGTTGGGTTGCATTGGTGGGCCTATTCTATTGGGCTCACTCATATTTGAAAAAGTTCAAAGAATAAGCAACAAATAAAATTTCATGGGTACTTTTATTTCTTTATTATTCATATTATATTTGGAAACATGGAGACCTATTTAATACTTGTTATTACAGTAAGATTATTTGGAGAAATTATATATAATTCATATTAAAAAGTTATATTAGAAAGTGAATATGTATATCATATTGATGAGATCCAATTTAAAACTATATAGTATTGCCATTATAATATATTTTCTATTTTAAAATATAATATAATTATGGATTAACAATTTCCTTCTTTGAAAGTTTGTAAATAGTAACCAAAAATTAATATTATAGTTCAGCAATATATTTACTAATATAATAAATTTTCAAACAATTATTAATAAAATTATTACACTTATAATATGATTAAAAAAATACACTTGTAGTAAAATAAAATAAGTTTGAATGGATTAGTAAATGACATTGTTCATTAGCCTATTAAACAAAGTATCTTATGAGCCTTCAAGATTTGTTTGTTCACGAGTTTACTAAACGAACTCATTCACGAATCTCATAAATGAAACAGTTCACGGGTATTATTAAGCCAAATTATCTCATGTTTAAACTTGATTCATTTATTTAAATATGTATAAAATTCTATATCAACTTGATTCATTTGAAAACCAAAATTAAATCGAACTGATTTATTATCCAGTTGAATTTCAAATAGTTCATAAATAATTTAATTTATTTGTAGTACTAAAATTTTACTTATTATAAGGATGTATAATTTATTTTTTTATATAAAATTTTTCATCTATGATTAAATATTATGAAAACAAATCAAATACATATGTCAAATTAAGTAAAATGTTTTATTAGTTTACTCCGATATTTCAAAATGACAGCAAGGAGTTACTAAGTAGTAGCTACAGAGTGCTCTCATGGAAGGCATTTCCAATAGCATTTCACTGTATTAATGAATAAATAAATAAATAAATAATATTTATAATAATTTTATTTTATCGTATTACGCATGTTGAAGTAATTAAAAATATTAATTATATTTAACATTAAACTTAAAAGCCATAATTTGCTTGCACTTGTTTATACAAAAAAATTATTTAAGGAGCGACTCTAATACAATTGAGTTAAACAAAAATTATTAATAGGAAAATTACTTTTTAAATTATAAAATTTAAGTCAAAGTAACCTAAAAAAAAAAAAACCAAACTAAGAAGTTAATTATCCAAATTTCTTTCAAACAAATCCAAAATTTTTAGCTCAACTTAAGTTTTATAATCAACATTATAAACAATAAAAAGGCCAATGTGACAATATATAAATTCCCAGCTTCTTTAAATTTTTATCTGAGATTGTATACAGCACATCAATTCTTCTTTAGGGATAAAATGTGAACCTTATTTCATTTTTATTTTACCTACATATGAAACTCGAGCGTTTGATTGATAATGCTAATATATTTGTATTCCAAACGACACAAAGATCCAATTAGTTGATTTTTAAATAAACATATATTAGTTTAAAAAAATTAAAAAACAAAAGAATAATTTGTAAATTTGTAATAGAATTTTTCGTACATTATTGATTTCTAATATTTTCTTTTAAACTTAGTTTTAATGTTTGAACTTTGAAGTTCAATTTCGATTTTTTTAACCCATCGTGCCAAACCTTCCAAATTGAATTAAATCATATTCATAGGTTTGATTAGTTTGAATATTTTTTTATTGTTTAAATATGCTAAATCAATTTTTTATTGTTGAGTGAATCCAAGTCATTCATATTAGATTATGCTTAAATCTGAAATCTTATTTATTTTTTTGTTTTCGTATATTTTTATAGTTCTATTAAAAACCCAGATGGATGAGAATCAGTCGTAAACACTTAGATAGCAATTTGTTTTAAAAAGTTTATTACATTCAACTACAAACTTTTTCCAGACACAAAAAAAAAAAAAAAAAAAAAGTTTTATTACATTCAACTACAAACTTCCAGACACAAAAAAAAAAAAAAAAAAAAAATAATTAATAATAATAATTCTTAATAGTAATTATTATTTTTAAATACTATAATAAAATAATGGCACAAATTATAATTTGAAAAAAATTAAAAAAAAAAAATAATAATAATAATAATTCTTAATAGTTAATTATTATTTTTAAATAACTATAATTAAAATAATGGCACAAAATTATTAATTTGAAAAAAATAATTTTATTGATATAATTAAAATATAATATAAATACAAATTTGAGTTAAAGGAATCAGCAGCACTTCTCCTGTACCAAATACCTTTAGCCTGGAATTAGCTATCAGGCTATACATAAACATAAATCGGTTGAACCAAACACCTTCCAACATGTACCATCATTTATATAGATCTGAGGCTGCAAGTTCAAACCCAACTATTTTGATAAAAAATAATGGTGAATATGAAATTACCTACCTCTATTACCCAAAATTATATTATTCTTATGAACAAAATTGCCTCTATGTTGCCGTAAGAATGTACAATAATGAAAGAATACATGTTTTAGTACCTGGACCGAATAATTTGAATGGTGATAAAGAATGTCTACGAATGACGGATGCCATACTCTACGAGGATTGAAGTTTTCGTCAATGACCTTGGATTCTAATAAGCTGCGATATCAGGGGAAGCTATTTTTCTCCTCCCTCCATTTCACAAGTGTACATATTCAGCAGAAATGGGAAAATGATGACTCAATTTGTAACGAATTAGATTCCATCTGCGAGTTTCTTCTCCATTTCCTTAAGTTGAGCAAAAATACAGTTTAGTAGCTTCCTTAGGTGTCAAGCATTCCAAAATTGTGATGCTTCATAGGATGTCCAGATTTATAAAGCTTCTTATCACCCAAGCGGTTTCTGTTCATATTTGTTTTTATATCTTAAGTTGTGTTTCTCTTTCATTTTCCTCTTTTTGTCCATCTTCTGCCTGTATCTTTGTTCCCTCTCCCTTTCATAAATCCCTTGCCAATGCACTTCTCCAGTCAACGGCCACAACCATCTATCCCTTGGAGGGTCACCATCGTCTGCAGCCTCTGCAAGATCTTCATCTATAGCTTTCAACAATGTAAAATTGAAGTACTTTGCCCAGATAATTTCTTTTCGTAGTTCGACTGGGTGTTGCTCTTCTAAAGAACCATTTTGCGGATCTATGTAAACCATTTTTCGTGCACTGTGGTATGCCCAAACATTTACAAGGAGTTCTAATATCCGACAATAACAATGTTTTCCCTGTTGATTATTTAAACAAGAAAATTTAAAAATCCTTGCATTTACAGTCTATTTAGAATTGCTATTTGAACTGCAATTGAGAAAAACTTTGCCAAAATGTTTATAGGAATCCATCAAAAAAAGTGTTTAGGGTGAATTTTGGCATGTACTAATGATAAAGCACCAGAGTAGCAAACACACTTTCAAGCTGCTTTTTCCAATGACATCTAAAAGGATGCTTTTTGAAAAGAAGGTTCTAACTTGAATGCTAAACAGAATCTATAACATTCACTATAGGATTGGAGCACCTTACCTCAAGCTCTGAGGAGCTCAACAAACAAAAGTTTGCTTGGCTAGAATCGTTATGCAAGGCATCAAGGGAATCTACAAATATCCTGCAGTTCAAATATAAAAGTCAACATACAGTTACTAGAAATTGTTTTAGCTGAAAATAAGACTCTTTAGGACAATAGGACTGACCGTGCAAACATAATGAACTCTAGAAAGGAAGGGGTAGGCATAACCCAACTATGCATGGCAGACCAGTAGCTTCCATCTCCTGGCATTGGGGGAAGAGCGTCAACATGGGATGGTGGTAATGAATACATCCGCCGGAAGGCAGCTTCAAAAGCATTTCTATATGGCATTGAAGAAGCCAAAAAGCAGTCAACTCTACAGCACATTTCATTTTCATGTAATACAACAAATGCTAATAAACTAGGAATACCATAAACTACAAAACATGTCTGAGGATAATAATTATACAGCATATAAATTGCATCTGCACTATAATTTTGGATTTTTTTGCAAATGTCTCCTGAAGCAGGTCAAAAAAGCTTTCAAATTTATGATTTCAGCAACAAAAAACACAGTAAACTCTAATATAGCTGACTTCTAGTGGCATCCAAAAACTATACTTCTTTTGTTTTGGTATTAAACTGACTCAATATTGACAAGGCCAGACAGCAAAGGAGGCTACATATTCATAAAATTAACAACTGTAGCTCAATTGTAAGTGTCAAATTGTAAGGCATGAGATGAGAAGTATCTTGTACAAAATCATTGACATCCACAACTTGCACATAAGCAATAATGAGGCAGTAAGACCTTTCATACAAATAAACATCTATTTAATATGATGTACCTGCAGTTTCCTCCATTTAAGATGTCACACATGGACCAAAATGTTAGGTCATTATTACTTCCTGTAATTCCAACATCCGCATCCAAGTGTGCCCAGAAGTACATTACATCTCCTCTAGTTCCTCGTTGTATCTTTTCCTCCAAAGCCTTTTCAGCATTACTGGATAATGAAACCTGATGCGAGAAAAAGAGGCCAACTGAGTCAGCAATTTTGAAAATTCTAAAACCCTCTTCAGCATTACACATAAGGTAAGGTCAGTGTTCTTAAAGCACAATGGTAAACTGCATTGACTCTTTCTTGCCTTTTTCTGGGAGAGAAGGAGAGAAGGAAGAGTATTAATAACTGATGGGTTACTATACCATATACCAATTTGGTGGGTTGCTACCAAACAGAGCACAAGGAACATGTGTGATACAATTTGGTGGGTTGAGCAATTTTTGTTGATCCAAATTGAAGTTCATTATTGAAATTCAATGATGAGCCAATAACCACAGGTAAATTGGAAAGTAAAATACCACCAATTTTCAAAAAGGAAAAAAAAAAATTCCACCAGCACAAAAGATACCTTCCTACCAGCAGCACGCCATGATTGAAACCCTATCCAAGGTCTCTTGTGTATATTATCCACCTTGTTGGCAACAGAAAACATCCCTCCAATCTCACAGAGGATATTCCGATAGTAAGCATCACTCAAGATGGGAAGCCGGGCAACTGCATCCACGTCATCTGATCTTGATCTCCGTGCTCTTGTGGACTAACAGATACAGATTTAGCATGTGTAAAAAAAAAGTTGTCTACTGATAAAGTAGCCTGGCCAATTGTGTTAAGAAATTGCAAAACAGTAATAGTAATTGAATATTTTAGATCTAAAAACAAAAACAAACCATAGCACATGTATTTCTCTCCCTTATTTTCTCAACATTTTTTATTTTCATCAAAAGAATTGAACCACAGTTTAATCATACACCGAAGACAATTCACACACGCAAACACAGAAACTCAAACTGGTAATTACCAAAGTAACTATATTTAAATTTCAATATAAAAATTTCTTTCACCATGTAACTTGAAAGTTTTATTAAGAAATCAATATTTCAAAATAATACTATTTTATGATAAAACAAAATGGTTGAAATAACATTTGACATGAGATGCCAGTAACTTCATTTATTTGAATGGAAAAAAAAATAAAATAAAATGGTTATACTTTTGAAATTTAAATTTCTAGAAATAAAAATACTTTTTCACTTACAAAAGCAAATTTAAAAAGAATTTTGAATTCTCTTTTGGAACATATCAACAAATATTTATGATTTGGTTATCCTCAGACAAAGCAGGCTAACTGCCCAAACTGAGTTGATAGGTTTATCAGTTACCAGCCAGTCCAGCAAATTCAGGTCAGTTTCATAATGCTCTTATAACAAGAGGGAACTTGCCACCAGTTCCCAATAACAAGGTCTGACCAGCTGGTTTAGTCTAGTATGGTTGCCAAAACATGGGAGGAGGCAATTTAATAAACAAACTACTTAAAAGCATTAACCTGTGGCACAAAAATACATTCAAAGGAGGGACATGCAATGTCAGACACATATATCATGTAACGTCACACATACACATTCTAGACCATCTCTAATATGTCTAGGACATCAAATGATGTCCAATAAAAACTTTGAAGAGAGAAAAAAAAAAAAAAAAAAGATGAACAGGCATGTCTTCTGTGGTCATCTTTGATATGTGTTTTTCAGCTGCTTCATATTTATGAAACAAGATGCATAACAAAGAGAGAGGGAGCAAAACTGCAGAACACTCTCTGACACGCACTATACAAGGAAAAGGTACTTTTAATTTTCAAGCATATATGACAATTTTTAATTGGCATAAACATAAACACATTTTATAAATGGGTTTCCTTTGGTGTTTTTACTATTATGAATAGTTCCTAGCTCCCTATGGAGCTGTTTTTCAATACGTGCAGAAATGACTTTCTTGTTATACGGCCCGATTTTAGTAAGAATGTTGACTCGTGTCTTAGTGTATCTCATAGCAATAATTTAGGATTTTTTTTAGTTTTCTATATTTGTAGTTTCCTATTTTAGGATTGTACAGTCTTGTTTGTAACAGATTAACAGAAAAATTATATTTTCTTCCTCTGTTGACAAAGGACATTGGAGGTTTTGATTCCGAATAAATTATTTGTCCATATACTTTTAAATGCTTTGCATGTTAAGTTAATAAAATAAACACATAACACACAAACACAAATTTCTTTTTCAATATGTCATGTCCTTATTTTCAAACAATCAATGTGTTTTACGTCTGTGTCACAATGTCTCTAACCAAAAAGCATACAAGACAGAATAAGAACTATAATTAACATTGACAAAAAAACCATAATGCATAAATAATATGTATATAGACAGAAGAAACTTACAAGACTTAAACCACGATACAAAGATCCATGGTGCAAAAATGGCCAGGCCCCTGCTCCATTATATATCTCATAAATGCATACTGGTTGGCCAGTCCTCTCGAGCTCTCCCTCATCTCTTTCGTTTGCTTCGAACTTAAGTTTCTCAGATCTTCTAGCATTGCGATACAAGTCATCCCAGACACCAGGGCTTTTATCCATTCTTTCTTGAAGCTGCAAATCAGTTAATAACTCTCCATTTTAGCACAGTGAAAGTCTGGAGTAACAAGGAAGTAGGCATTGACACATAGGACCTTAGATTGAACTGTACAACCAAGAAAATTGTGTACCTCCTCCATTTCTAGGCTCTCATATTCTTCAAAGCTATCTATCTCCCTTAAAACATCCCAATCTGATTCAGTTGGGAGATCTGGAACTAGAATTTCAGTTCCATTCGCAGAGATGTTAGTCGAATCAATAAGATTGGTCAACTCTTCCTCAAGAAAATAAACAACACTAGATCCTCCGTAAGAAGAATCCCTCCCATCCATGCCTAAAAAGTTGTCAGTTCCTTGGGCTATTTCCTTCCTAAATAAGTTCCACTCCCATTCCTTCTGTTGAAGCTTGGACAAAGGACCTGGCAATAAGGCATCTGATGGAAAGCTGAGTAAATTCTCCAACAGCCTTGCATAACCAGTTATACATTCTGATACAAACATGTTCCTAGCAAGCAGTCTTCCAGAGGAAGCAACAGTTTGAGCAAATCCAGAAAGTTTTCCATCTGATATTAAAAGAGAGAAAGCCCTCATCAAAGCTTCAGGGTTATGTTTTTGGAAAAGTAACCCATAAACTCCATCAATAAGCTGTAATTGCAGCAAATGCTTCTTTAGTGTTTAAAAAATATGAAAAAGAAAAAACAAAACAGAGAAATTCAGAGAAGCTAATTGTAATTTACCAGGAAACAATCAAAGACCAAAAGCTCTAATGGACTTACATATTTCTTCATTACAGGAACATCAGGAGCAACGACAAGAACTCCAAATGTCATTGCTCGGATGATTAAAGGAGGAAAACCTTGTTCATCTTGAGAAGAACCATAAATAACAATGTCGGCCATTAACAGTACACTATTGACATCACCATTCAAGCCATAGTGCCTCACAGAACCATGAAGAAGCCCCAAACGAGAAGCAACTCCCTATACAAAAGACATACATGAATTGACCATCATAAGATTAAACCTAGTCTAAAATGGAATTTTCAAACAAAAAAAAGTAGTTCTTAGTTCTGTTACTTTCATCTTTTTGAGACTGATTTTCAATAAATTTGTTCATTCTTAAGAATTTTTAGCAATTCCTCCAAAAAAAAAAAAAAAAAAGATTACAAAAGACAATATCATGAATTTGACCAATCATAAGTTAAACCTAGTCTAAAATGGAATTTTCCAAACAAAAAAAGTCAAGTTCTTAGTTCTGTTACTTTCATCTTTTTGAAGACTGATTTTCAATAAATTTTGTTCATCCTTAAGAATTTTTTTAGCATTCCTCCAAAAAAAAAAAAAAAATTCTTGTGAATCGTTCATTGAGAACATTGAAATGCAAACATAATATTTTAGAAAACACCAGGGTAGCAAGCAGCGTAGAACTGATGAATGTTTTCATTATTGATGAGTAAAACCTCAGTTTTCAGTAATGCCTCATTCTGATGAATATTCATATCATGTACAAAGTTTCAGCTCCTGCCCCTTGCCAATCCATCCCCCCCCCGCCCCAACCCCCCCCCCCCAACCAACCAAAAAAAAAATAGCACAACCACCAAACCACCACCTGTCAATGAGAAATTTACAACTAGCTTTCATGAAAAGTTCACTGCTTCATCTGATAAAAGGAGACACCTTTAAGCATGTAGAATGGAAAAGAGAAACTAGAAACATAATATTATACCAAGGAAGAACAACAGAACAAAGCAGTTTTCTACCTGCAAAGCATCACCATCAGTAGAATTACCACAGAGGAAAACAAATTTAACTGAATCCTCAGCGTCATGCCTCCTTGCATATTTTACTAGTAGAGGTCCTAGGGAATGCATGGCCAATGCATAGTCCCATGACAGCTCATCATAAAAGAAAGAACTCCCAACAACTAGAACCACCACATCATCATCAGTGAATCCATTTTGTGCTCTTAGTTGATGCTTGGCATGCGTCTTACTGTAGCTTTCAGCAGCCCACACATCCACTGGTGATCCAGGGATAACAAAGAAGTTTCCAGTGTCAAGCACACTATATAGCATCTATACAAGAAGGAACATAAATAAGATAAGATACAGCATAAGAACATATAATACAAGACTGACTAAAAATAAAGAGGAATATCAAGCCATAATTACCGGCAGAGTGAAATCTGGAAATACAATAACATTGGCTCTATTAAAATATCTTCTCCAATGAGACACAAGATACTCCCAGCCCATTTCCCTGTACACTGAAAGACGACTTGCAAGGGTATCCTCTTGGATTATCCATATAAGTGGTATTGAACAAAAGGGCTCCTGCATAAGGCTGCATAAATATAAAACTCACTAATCACAGCATCTCAAACTAAAGCAACAGATATACAGACCTTCATGTTTACACAAAAACCTAGCAAGAGAAAGATACTGATGAAAGCACTATCAAACAGTTGCACCTTAGTTTATCATCAAAATTTTCTGAACTCATTTCAGTTCACCTCTCCTTATGACTACCATTAAAATTTTGATAAAAAGACCAATCATATTTTAGTGGAATATATAAGGTATGTAAAGGTCATAATTTCACAAATAAACATAAGACTGCAAAATAGTTTCTTCATGCATAAAAATACCTTGATGCGCACAACCCAGATAATAGCAGGTTCTAAAACTAGAGAACATGAGAGACAACCCAGGCACAGTACATCAAGCTGAGTCATTCTAAAGAACATAATACCTCACTTTATGTCGGGTTATAGAAATTTTATTATGAGTGAGGAATTAGAATTCCACATTTGCTAGTCTCTTGTGTTTCGATATGACATACAAAGCAAAGGTGTCCAAAGCATGTAAAATCAATGCATTATTTAACCTCATGAAATCTAATTTGTTTGAAAGATATCAAAGAAAGTAGATTAGATATGTTCACAAGCAAACCAAACACAAACCAGACCATTTATCTAATAATGAACTCTTGAGTAAAACTATAAGCCTCAGTTGCTAAATAGAGTATCAAATCCACCTACCTTAAAATGGCCTCTTTGCCTTCAAGTGAATCAACAATAACTCCTTCAAAACTGTGTTATATGAACATGCTAATTAGCCATATCTAGGACTTTAATAAACAGAAATACTATCTTAAAAAACAAAAGTTCTTGACACAGACATATTTCTGAAACAAAAACCAAAAGGACAGATTAAGTTTAAGAAATACCATAATACATCAAAGAGAAACATACATTGACCAATCAATGCGGCCATATTCTTCTGGTTGTAAAATTGATATCTGACCACCAATTTGATCCCACACTGATTGTGCTTTCCCACTCTTTATGGCATAAATCTGTCAAAGGCATATGAGGTGCATAAGCTTTTCCAAACTAGCAGTTGAAACTACAGGAGTAAAATAACTGGTCCACACTCCTTCCCTCCATTTTCATGCCATGATTCTTTTTGAAAGGGAGCTAACTAGTTAAAGTGACGAAATGACAAATTTGTGTTTTTATTACAAATATCAGACCAACCATATAGAAAATAGCTGGAGGAATTCACCTTAAGCACATAACCAAGTTTTTGCAGATTCTTCATCACAGTAACCAACATCAATGATTGTGGACCTATCTTCATGTCTCCTAAGATCTGCCAACCATGCAAACAAGCATCATTAACGTAAAACATGTACAAACCACTTTTAAGAAAAATCAAAATATGTAAACACAAGCTTTTCATATGCAGGTGTATATCAGATGATCCAATGAACTCAACACTTTGTTTTTGAGTTCGACCACAGATTCCACTACGAAATCATTGAAAATGATGATAAATTACTGCATTGAAAAACATAAGCTGCTGCATTCTTGAATATTTCAGCACAAAAGACAAAAAACAGAATGAGTCAAATTCTTAGGACTTAAAATATCTCATAAATAAATCAACAATACATCATCACCACAACAAGACTATGGATTAGGCCATTTTATAGTTAATATATTCCAACAGGCACAAAAGAACAAAGGCATGCTTTATTCTCCTCCTTAGCAGAGGTTTAATTACAGAAGAAAATCTTAGACACTGCCTTAAACTTCATCCACTAGACAGCATGCTAATTCAATGTGGTGTAAAATTAGATTTGATCAACTTCTATGCTAAGTGAGAAACTAAGCATTTAAAAGATTAAGCTTGACCTAAGTTCAGCAATTATATTTCAAGGCAGTACCTCACAATTTGTTTCATTAGAAACTAATTCTCATTAATATATAATCTGATCCTTTTGTACAGAAAAAAGCACCGAATTCAAGGATAGTAAATGTAATATATCTCTGGAGACAGCACTGTTGACCATACAAGACATTCAAATCTGACCAACTAGCAAGTATAGTGCTCAATTAAATGGAATTCTATGACATCTAGAATTTCCCAAATTTCATCGCCTCTTATCTTTCAAAGATTCTACCCATGGTGACTCAGCTTCTTCAACATCATATCATATGCTCTTTATAATGTTTCTCAGTTCGATTTTTAGTAGGCCAGTAATGCTGCAAGTATGAGAGTTAAGTGGTTGCTTCCATATGTAAATATTATCGCATAATGCCTTCTTGAAAAAAGAATAAATAAAACAAAAATGCATTCCCCAGATGTTAACAAACCATTTGCATCCATTACCCCGAATAGCATTGGAAGAATCAGAGGCAGTCTTGGACAAGTATAGTATTTTCAAACAGCAGTGTTGTGTTTATTAGTTCATAAATCTTAGAAGAGCAGATTGAACTTAAAAGACAACTTTATCCTGATTCTCTAGTACTTGGATTTTCTTAAATGAGAAAGGGAAAAAAAGGGGGCAATGAGAATAGTTCAATTCTTTCTCTTCCAACTCCTTGGATAGATCAGAAATCAAAATCCCATGTTGTTAGATGCTACTTCCAGACTTCCAGTTCTTGAGAATCAGATAGGAAATAGACACTTACTTTTAATCTTTTTTCACGGACATAGTCAGTTATGGAATTAACAACACTCTACGACTGACTTCAGGCTACTTGTTAAGTCTTAAAATTTAAAAAAGAAATTATCAGATGCTTTCAATATATATCATATATCTCAAATAAATGATGGGTGATGGTCCCACCTTGAATTGCACTTTTGGGACCCACTACTTGTGACCAGAAGGAGAGTACCAGTATGGTAATATTTCTTCCTTAACTAAGATTGACATGAACCAACCAAAAAATTAGGATTGACTAATTAATAAAAATCAGATAGTCCTTTATGAACACAAATATATAAATAATAACAGTCTAGACGAGTGTTATTAGTTGCCAGACCCTATCAGTTTCTCTTTATTCTCCTTTAAAGCTATCAAGTGAAAATTAAAGGACAAACAACAGTCTTAGTTTCATGAATAAGTTTCCTCACCTGCAAAATTAGCAAGAAGTTCCTTCCTGTGCCCCACAACTAGACCAGTAGGAAACAGAGGATTCCCAATAGACATTGCTTATGCATTTAAAGCCCATCATGCTACTCATCTTTTAGCACATTTGAAATATCATAACAATTATAACTAGGATACCTATAAAATATTCCTACCTCTCCAACTGCGTTTCCCTTCATAGGAGGTAAGAATAAGGAAGATGTCTTAAAAGGCTAACACCTTTTTTGGTCATTATACTTTATTTGTTTTTCAATTAAATTGTAACACATTCTTTTAACAATGAAGTCCTTATAGTTTTAGAACTGGTTACCATCACTCATCAAACAGGATTATCCAATGAATGCCACCAAAAAATGTCAGATTCATTTGACTCACCACCATATTTCTTTTTTAAAAAAAAATAGTTCTACTACTTTTTAGAATGACAATTTCTTTCTTCTTTCTTTCCCTTTTTTTTTTTTTTCGGTTCCCCGCTACCAGTTTGACCTTTGTTCTTTTTCTTCTTTCCTTTTCAGAACCAGTTCTAACTCGCTACTTGCTTTCTTTAACAATTCAAAATTCAATATTATTTCTCTTTTTTTTAGGAGGGCGGAGGTGGAAGTGGGAGGAATAAGTAATCAATTATATTGCATGCCCAATAAAAAAATAATAATAAATAGAAACCAGAAAGCAACAGTTTCTGCAAAGAAAATTAATTATAACTAATAACAGCAGCATAACCAGTTATAGATAACTAAAATTCTAGGTGGATGTCCATGCTCAGAAAGCAATCTTTCAAGATTTTTTTCTTCCTGCAACACCTCCGTCAATTTATTTTGTAAATGTTGCAGGTTGTCTCCCACTTTTAAATATTATTTTGCCATGTTCCCTCCAAATGGTCGAGCTTTTTAACACAACGGAAGAGTTTAGGATAATTAGTTCTCAACATAAGGGGTTGAATATGGTCCAAACAATATAAAATATTCGGTATTAAAGAAAAAGGTTAATTATATTTATGGTGTCTAACCTTTTAATTTTTTTCTATTTTGGTGTCCAAATGGAAAAAAATTTGCAAGTAAGATTTTGAACTATTAAAAAGTGGCAATCAAGTGTATTTGGCTAGATTTTCTTGCCAGAAAATTAAAATGATCATTTTAATCAATAAATAATATCAAATATAAACATTCATTTAGTTGATCTCTCTTTTTCCAATTTTTTTAACTTTTTATTGTATTATATCTCTTCTCATAAAAAAAGTTTCAAAGTTCCTTTTAATTTACTTTTCATCCCAAAACAAAATAAGAGAGAGAGAGAGAAAGAGAGAGAGAGAGAAGAAAGAAAAGTAATAATCTAGAGAAATAAAAAAAAAAAAAAGTAAAACAATGGGGCAAAATAGTTCACTTTGATTTTTTGGTGAAGAATTCTAGCTAAATGAACTTGATTGTACAAAAAATATTAGTTCAGACACTTAAATGCAAGTTTTTTTCATCCAGACACCAAAATAGAAAAAATTAGAAAATTCAAACACCAAAAATATAATTAACCCTAAAGAAAATCTTAGAAATCAATTTCTGAATCAAAAGTGAAAATCCAATACATTTTCCAACTATTATGTATCCTTAACTAATAAACATACTTTACAAGAATTCTAAACAAAAAAAGGAAAAATCAAAAACTTCCTAATTAATCAACATAAAGAAGGAAAACTAAAAAGCTTCATAATATAACTTGGATGCACTTGCATCATTCTCCTCAGGTCAGAAAAGAACTCAAAACCGATGAGAAAAGTGTAGATGTATCAACAACAACAATAAAATCAATTCACCTAGAGTCCCTATTAAGAATAGCACCTGCTTACAGCTATTGTAAGAGCAAACAAAATCACAAGGCATTCAAATCATTCATCTTTTTCTTGGGCAAGCAAGGTTGGTTCAACACAAAAGGCTTTTACTTATCTCAATAAGCCTTCTACCAATTAGCATGTTGCTTGGAGATGTATTTCAACTCTATCTGGTAATCTGCTTGGTTAGCTAAAGCTGCGCTAGAAATGAGATTAATTGCATGGTTGATATCTCCTATTGCAGGGACTTTTTTTTGCAACTAAATGCCACCAATATCTAAAAGCAAATTCTTTTTTGAAGAACAATAATCTTTCATTGTTTTCTCATCTTCAACATTCCAGTCTTCCTATTGAATGACATTATTTTCTCCACGGACAGGTACTAGGTTAATTTCTTGCTCTTCATAATAGTAACCATGATAGATTGGTTCCATAACATCCTTGTTGCTACCTTCACCAAGTACTTCCTCCGTCCCAAAAAGATAGTCAATATTTCCTTTTTGGTTTCTCAAAATATAATCCACTTTCCTTTTTTGCATTATAGTTAATCCTTAAATTGTCTACTATACCCTTATTATAATTTATCTTATTTTCAATAACCCTCATTAATTCTTACTTATTATTCCAATATAATAATTGCTCATGTGTTATTTAAGATGATCATAACAAGGAAGTTATATGAATAAAATTATCCTTTAACTATAATAATTGTTATTTCTTAATCCGTGTGAAAATAGAAAGTGGACTGTCTTTTTAGGACAGAGGGAGTATTAAAGACAAGAAACTTCTTTCTCCTTTCACTCTTCTTAGGGTCATCAATTTGTTCTTCCCCAAGTGCTACTTCTTAGATCTATGGGATATTCATCAAAATCAAGAATTACAATGGAAACTTCTAAACTAAGATCAACTCTCACTAATAGCTCTTTTAATCTATTGCATTCAGATTATTCACGAATCATGGAATTATGAAACAAGCATACTCCTCAATGGGCATGTTTTTTTGCTTCAAACGATAGAACTTCTTATACAAATCCATCATATAACCAGAGCAGGCAAAATTGCTTTTGTAGCTTAGTTTTAGTGTGCTCTTAACTGCTGATTTTAGGCTTGCCTTGAGGGCACATTGCTCTTCAACTCTCTTCCACCTTTGAAGTGCACCTTCTGATTTTCAAGCATGGTTTTTCGTTCAAAGTAATTCTCTAGACTAGCTTCCCAATCTAAATATCCTCTGCATGTAATTTTTCATCATTATTAGCAACTCAAATCTTCACCAATCAAATCAAGAGAGTGTAGCAACTGCTCTCCCTAAGGACAATACAAATACATAAACTGATCTTCACTCTTTAAAATTCTGAATTGAAAGAGAAAATACAATATATAAACCAATTATTGTTGTCCTATTTATATACTGGTGAAGATAAATCCTAATTCTAGACTGAAACTATTCCTGATTAGTTAATTAACTTACTTTATCAGAATAAGAAACTTAGATAAAGAAGGAAAACTGAAAAACTTCCTAATTAATTAACCTACTTAATAGGAAAGAAATCCTAAATGAAGAAGGAACTCAAGAACTTCCAAATTAACATACTTTAAGGGAATTCTAAATAAAGATGGGAAACTAAAAACTTCCTACTTTAACTTGGATGCTCTGCATTATTTTTCATTTCCCTCAAATTTTTACAAACGAACAGCATCCACTGCTTTCTAATTCTCTCAGATTTTCTCATTATGGAGCCTTTGTATAAATTAGAGCTTACATGCATAACTAACATCAAACTTTAATTTAAGAATGGCACTTGACAGAACAACCTATTGCCTACAATTCTGTCTCTCTTCCAGTTTGTAGTCAAATAGTTTGCAACTTAAGTCTTCATTTAACGTTTCCATACCATATCATATCATCAGCAAATTTTTATTTCTAAGCGCGCGTATGTAGTGGATTTTCTTCACTTACAGCTAATAAAAAACTTCAATATCTTCTCAAAATTTTCTCAATTCTCTAATAATCCTTGCTTCCACTATTAATTTCCTTTAGAATCCCATTGAGGAACAACACCTTTTAACTAAAAAATGAGTTTCCATAAGCAACACTATGGAGTCAAATGTAGCCAAAACCAATTACATACAATGTCATAATTCAGATAAACCAATTCAAAACTAGGAATTAAAATAACTTACAATTGCGAGCCTCGGGGCCCGAAGCCCCACTCTAGCCCCTTGCAATCTGAGTTGATCAAGCCCATGACCCTCTGCAAGCTGCTCTGATCTTATCCCTGGAAAGAATTTCAATGTGCTCCCGAACCTCAAATCCTCTCTAAACGATTTCCGGTAATCACTCCACCCCTTAGTAGACAGTAATTCGGTGATCGAGCTTTGTAACACCATCGAAGCCATTGCAAAAGCAAAAGCAAAAACAGCAAAGGAAATCACAAAATAACGCAAATAAACGCCTCTGAACGGAAACCAAGAATATGAACCCTTGCGATTACTTCTATTACTCTTGCGTCCAGAGGAGCGATCTAAAGGGGATATGGTGGCTCTGTTTTGATCATTGGAAGTATTGTTGGTGTTGCTATGCGCAGTGTTTCGCTTAAATCGCACTCTGTCTCGGATCGAGTGATAACCTTGGTCATTGTTGTTATTCACATTGCCGCCATTAGTGCCACCATCGGCGGCAGATGTGGTGGCAGTGGTGGCGGTGGTGGTACCGGCTTCGTCGATTTCAGGAGGAATAGGACTTCGGCCCATAAGGAAGGGGATTTTCTCGGGAAAATGAGGAAAATTATTGAAGTGTTTAATCGGGACTATTTGCGAGAGTGAGCATAGAGCCTGCGCCCGCGTTTGTTCTTCTTTTGAGCTGTGTTCGTCAACTCGAACGAGAGTGATATGAAAATAGATTCTTTTTTTTTAATTAAGAAAAACTTTCATTATTTATTTATTAATTAATTTAGAGGTGTGGCGTATGCGAGTGAACAGTACTGACGCGCCAATTGGAGAAGTCCTACTAGCTAAGCTACGCCAGTTGCAATTGCGGTTCTTCAAAGAGTTATTTAATTTCTTACTTAAAAGTTTTTTTTTTTTTTTTTTCCAAACCGCGTGTATCTGAACTGTATTAACAAGAATCGACTAATCCGACTCGGTACTTAATTACAATTAAGGATTTCTCTTTGCATTTGTGTTTAATAAAGTCAAATTTAAAATCTTTTTTTACATGTTTAGTCTACCTTGCCAACTGAGCCTCAACTCCTATCTTACTTAAAAGAATTTTTATTAAAATCTAAGACACCTAATGGTATAATTGGATTTAGGGGTGGCCATATTACGATTTCGGGAACCGGAACTGTCGGTTCGAACCGATCCGAAACCTTAATCGGAACCGGGCCGAACTGAAACCAGAGATTTTTGGTTCGGTTCCGGTTCCAGATTTCTAGAACCGGAACTGGCGGTTCCAGAGAACCGGTCAGAATCGGACTGGAACCGCCGGTTCGAACCGGCGGTAGAACCGGTAACTAACGGTTCCAAAAGAGAACACCGGTCAGAATCGGAACATGGAACCTGCCGGTCGTCGAACGCGGCCGGTTCTAGCCATTTCTTTTTAAAAATAAAAATAACTGTCAAGTTTGTTTTTCTTTTTTTTTTTTTTAAAATTTTGTTTGTGATAATTCTCAATTACCCTCCTGCCCAATGATTGCCATTAACAAAACAGCTAGAAAAAATAATAAGTTCAGCCCTTTTTTTTTAATTTGTTCAAATACTTTTTTTAAACAAAATATAAATTCAGTTGAAATTTTTTTAAAAAAAACATAATTAGGTTCAAGTCTTAAAAATAAATTTAATTGAAAAGATTTTTTTAATTTTTTAGGAGTAATCATTTTAATTTTTATGTTCACAAATATATATTTTTTTTGAACCGGTCTCAAAATTTAAAAAATAAAATACTGTTCAAGACTTTTTTAAACAAAAAAAAATTAATATTCATTGAATTTTTTTAAAAAAAAAATTATGTTCATAGTCTTTAAAAAGAATAAATTTAACATTTGAAGTATTGTGTTTGATTTTTTAGGCGTAATCTTTAATTTTTTATGTTCCAAATTTTTTTTTTAACACGGTCCTTCTTTTTAAACAAAAAATAAATTCAGTTGAAATTTTTTTAAAAAAAAATAATTATGTTCAAGTCTTTAAAAAAATAAATTTAATTGAAGTATTTTTTTGATTTTTTAGGCGTATCTTTTAATTTTTTATGTTCAAATTTTTTTTTTTAAAACCGGTCTTCAAAATTTAAAATTTAAAATTATGCGATTCGCCGGAAAACCGATTGGAACTGTTGGTTTGGTCACCATACCGAAACCGGAACTTTTCGGTTCGGTTCCGGTTCCATTTTCTTTAGAATCGGAACCGCTGGTTCCAGAACCGTAGCCACCCCTAATTGGATTTGAATATTCTAATTTTATAGATGTGATTAGACTGGAACATAGCTCCATCTATAATCAAATTAATGAAAATAAAAATTTTTATTGAAATCAAATATTTCTAATCATATATATGAATAATTTTAAAATATTTTTAAAATAATGTTTGTGATTAATATTTCTCAATTTCGATGTTAGTATTTTCTTCTATATTGCAAAAGAGACATAAGAATGAATTATATACTTTTTTTGTCTTCTTAAATATTTATCACATTTTAAAAAAATACTATGTTCCAAAATATTTGTTATGTGATTTCAAAAAATAATAAATTTTTTTCATGTTTATCATCTGTATATGACTTACAATTATTCCTTTAATTCTTAAAAACTTTAGCATTTCAATATATTAAATTAAGAGTAACATAATCAATTTATTTACTCAATAATTTATTATAATTTAAATAAATTTAATAATTTTTCAATGAACACAAATTTTAAAAGGGACAAAGATTTAGAAACAGAGAGAGTAAGTTTTACTGGCCCAAAACCATAAACCGAACCATCTTTTGCCATCATCATAAATGAGGGCTCCATGACCATGTGCCTCCTGTATATCCTCGATTAATGAAAAGGAAAGTATTTGCCCACCTTGACCTCTAACTAGGATTAATGGTTAATCAATGTCCAACACAACATCTAAAATCACGTGGTTTGTCATGGGAATGATAGGGAAAAGGAAGTCAAACCAATTTTTAATTTACTAAACTTGCAATTAAGAAAGTATTAATGAGATATTAAAGCAAAGATGTAATTTTTGGCCCAAGGAATAAGTAGTTTAAGAGCATCATTATTAGATATAGTTTTTTATCGGTAAAATAAATTTAATTTTATTAGAATTAAAATGGTTTTATTATATGGTCTAATTCATAATTTGCAGGTAGAAAATAATTCTTCATGACTTAATCCACCGACGCAGAGCATTGACCTCCATTCAAGTAAAATGGCTTTGCGGCATGTTGTAAGTGGGCAACCCATTTTATACATGCTTCCTTTGAGCTACTTGGAAGTTTGGTCAATTCAAGAAAGGTCAGATCATTGGAAGTTTAGTTTTTTAAATTTTAGTATAGACTTTCGTACCAGATTTTTGTACATGTTTTGAGACTTGAGACCAAACCTTTAGGCACTGAGACCAACCAAAATAGATTCAGTCATATCCAATGGCTTCTGTAACTTCATGTTCAATCTACATGGTTTATGCATTGCTATAGTTTAAGAATTTAATGCATGTTTATAGGGTTAATTATAATTTTAGTGTCTAAATTATGGAAAATGTTCTATTTTGATGTCTCAACGAAAACTTTTACAATCGGATGTTTGAATTCATTAAAAATTTTCAATCAAGTGTCTGTGGTTTACATGACATGCCGAATATACAATTAATCCGACGGCTAACATTTCAAGTAGGAATTTTTTCTGACTTAGAAAAATATGTTGAGTTGTCAACTGTAATTGGGCATTTTGAGTGAGATCCAGAAAATAAAAGTTACTAAAATAACATTGTCTTCTATCGTTCAAATTTATAAAAACCATGGGAAAGTTAGAGATATGAGAGAGATAGAATTCGTTGATAGACAAGGATTGAGGTTTTATTAGTGCTTTAGAACTCTACAATGCTGATAACTTTTTGATTTATTTGTATTGTATAAAAAAAAAATAAAAAATTTAAGGTTGCTATGCAGGCCAAATTACAGAGGAGGAAAAGTAAGAAGCAGCAGCAACAATATAGGTCGCCGACAGCGGCTGCGAACTACAAGGTGGACCCCCAGAAAGAGAAGCGGTTGAATCCTATTACTATTCGCAGGAGGAACCTTTTATTCCCAACTCTCTTTGCAAGGGCCAGATCATGTTCGATAATCCTGATGATTAGGTTCAAGTGTCCGATAATCCTGAAAAGATAGAATAGTTGATGTTGCTACAGAGCAGCCTACAAACAACGATAACAATATTTTCTTTCAAGCTTCAATTTGTTGTCTCTGTCTCTTTCTTTCAATAATTTTCAGATCTCTAACTTCAATTCGGTTGTTTTTGTAAATTTTAACAATAAAAGGAAATGTTATTTTAGTAATTCACTTTTTTGGGTTCCACTCAAAATAATCAATTTTAGGTTGACAACTCTTAACATATTTTTTTAAGTCAATAAAAATTCTAACGTGACGTATTAGCTACCGGATTAGTTATACTTACGACATATTTGCAAATGGTTTCAATTGAAATAGAACATTTTCTCTGGTTCAAACATTAAAATTATAATTAATTTTATAAATTCTTGTGCTCATATCTTCAATAAGGTGCCATTGGGCAAATGATTAATACAAACTATTTATGCACATGAATTGTAAATATTGTTTCTTATTGTTGACACACTTTAAATTTTTTTTTTACAAACAGCATCATTGTTTACCGAGAAACACGCTCATCATTATTTTAATTTACAATAAAAAATAATTGAATACAATAATTAATAAAATATAAAATTTATTTTCATGTATTCATGTTCTTTTCTATAAAATTTAGATAAACAATATTCATAAATCCCAAAAAAGAAATTGACAACAATTTACAAGATTTAGTTTTATTATGAAATAAGAAAATATCATTCAACAATAAAAACAATAATAATGATTTTGGTAGAAAATAATGATTTTCTATTAAAAAAGAAACAATATGTAAGCATCTTGTCTAACCAAATAAACATCTTATTAGTTCAATTTTAAAAGACAAGTTTACTTCATTATTTGTCTGAAAAAACAAAGCGAATGTTCAATTAACTTTTAATAAAACAAAACAGACGACTCCAAAGTGCCACTCCAAGCTCATAGGAAAGATTTATAGACATGGAATAACTCTTTATTGATATTTTATTACGTTTTGCAAACAATAATTTTCATGATCAATACATTTGCAAAACTTTCATGATCAATACAATAAGGTAAGCGAGAAAACTTGCTCATATAACATCTCATTACATCTTTACGTGCAGAGACCTGTATGCATATTCTTATCATTTTACTCCAAGTCGGGATAAGTTTCGAGAAATCGTCTTATTTTCAACTGTTCATCCTTCGTTATAACTGGATTATCACCAGTCAGCCTGCTTCGCACTGCCGAGTTAATAATGTCCACATCTTCACTCACAGCCTGGTTCAAGAGTAGAAAAAAAAAGCACCAAAATAACATTTTGTTCAGAAATGCAACACACGAGCACTCAACATAGGCTGATAAATGCAGGTACAATATTGATTATAAGACTTAAGAGGCAACTAAGGTGGATTTATAAATGCAGGTACATCTAGACTGATAAACCACTAAATATTTTTATGAGGGAAAATATTAATATTGAGGACAAATAGCATACTTTTAAAAATAAAAGGTTTTTTCATATTTATAAAATCCATATAATATAATACAATAAACTCTCTATATTTGAAGTCACAGAAAAATCAGAGAGGGTACCTAAACCTGGATACCCCACTAATGGTTGGCAGGTGGCTTTCCCCTTTGGGTTCACAGCAAGACAGGTTCCCCATTAGAACAAATATCAGAGAGGGTACCTGTAACTGGATACCCACTAGTAATGTGTGGTCAGGTGTAATATAATACAATAAACTCTCTATATTTGAAGTCACAGAAAAATCAGAGAGGGTACCTAAACCTGGATACCCCACTAATGGTTGGCAGGTGGCTTTCCCCTTTGGGTTCACAGCAAGACAGGTTCCCCATTAGAACAGGGCAAAATTGACATCTCTAAGTGGATGTAGTTCAATGTTGGTTTTATAGAAAGCAGCAATCTTGCCAAAACTCATGTTACCAAAGTATTTTGTAACATTTGTCAGCTTTGAAAATTGGCAAACTGCCCATTTATTTGACTAATTGCATTTCATAGAACCTAGCTAATTCTGAAATGATATTTGTAGGCCAAAAATAAAAGAGAGAAAGAATCAAATAAATAAATAAAATAAAGGCACCTAGTTCTTATCCACCAGAACAACAGAGACCACTTTTCTCTTTAAAACTACCAAAGCAAATAATAATTGAAGATTGGTAAAGGGATTAGAAACTGAATTTTACTTGTACATAATTGTTGACATGCCCATCTTTGTTCGGGGAGGTCATAAGCTCATGTTCATTACACGTCCATTCACCATCAACTATGTATTTGTATTCATAGCATCCTTCCTGTTGGATCAAGAGTGAATTCCTTTCATGTTATTTATTTCATTTATAAAAGAGCACCTTGTATCATAGAAACTTAAAATATCTATATTCATATGAAAGTCCATCTCTGTGACTTGTAAGCACACTTCAGATATCCTCACTGATTTGGGCAGATCACATGGCATCTAAAGAGTTCTTAATGAGTCCATCTTGGTATTTTATTTGCTTTCTTTTTTTGAGAAGTTTTCTCTCATATTACAAATATATCTGGCCATGATAAAAACATATGTACTAAACATTTGAATACAAGATTCATGCAGTTGATATATTCTACAAAAAAGTAATGCTAAAAACAAGAACTTGACTTTAGAAGCATGAAATCTCTCATATTAGAGACTGGGTCCAAAAGTTCATAGTAAAGGTGCAACTAAAGGGAAATGCCAGAACACCAATTGTAAACATAGAACAATTTGAATAGAAAGAATGCAGAACCATGTGTAGAGCAGAAGATGTGAAACATAAAGGAAAAGTGCAGTCAAAAGAATAAAAGAAGAAAAAGTGAAACTTGAAGGCAAATTTCTTCCTTGAAAATTTGCAGCTTGCAAATGAAGTATTCTTGTTCACAAGAAAAGGAAAAACAGAAAAAATTAGAACAAAGAAAGACTTACCAGCAATTCTCTTTTGAGAGTCCACAAACCGTGTTCCTCGTCCAATTTTAAAGGTATTCTCTGGAAATAAAGAAATAATTAATATGGAAAAGAATAATAGAATGGTAAAGGATTTGAAGGACAAAGAAAACAAGCATCTATCTTATTCAGAAGAATATCCTATTCCAGTATCAGCATTCTCATTTCTTTATCCAGTAAAATTTCTTTTATTATAAAAAAAGGGTTTACTTTCCATGTGGAAAATAGGGTCCAAAGCAACAAATCAATCCTTCAAAAATAAAAATGAACAATCCTCATCATGATGCAAAATTGTGCGAATTAAATCATGATCTATTATTCCTCAACTGTAATTTATGCAGCCACAGCGCAGGCACTCCACTCATTCTAACTCACCCTCAAAGACACCACAGAAGTTACTGATAGTTACTAGTTAATGGATTCTAGGTTGAGGAGGTTAGCTGTAATTTATACAGCCACTGTGCAGGCATTCCACTCATTCTAACTCACACTCAAAGACACCATAGAAGTTACTGATAGTTACTAGTTAATGGATTCTAGGTTGAGGAGGTTAACCATGCCAGACATACTTTGAACTGGGATAGCTGAGAGACCTGCCCAACACATCTCCAGCTTTCTCATAGTTTCATCATTACTCATTTTTCCAACTAGCCAGACAGAGAACAATCAATTTCTTTGTACTGGAGTGTGACCACTTGGTTGGACATGTGGAACCACATGCTTTCTTACAAGCAGCATTTGTGAAACATGCAGGACATGCACTAGAGTGGCATTCACCTTTAACAAATATTATTATTTTAAAGTTGTCATATGTCAAACACGCAAAAATATGTATATATTATGCAACACAAGAAAAGCTCTCATACACAGAAAAGTACAGGAAATCAAGGTCTTTACATGGAAACTCATATGACATCTTGTTTTACTGAAGCAGTGAACTTTGTTGTCTAATGTCCAAGCAGGATCAATAGCATCCATAGGTTATCAGAGACAAGTTCACAAACTATTCTAACAATGCCACATTAAGTCACCCAGAAAGTGAATTCATACAACAATATTACCTGGCCCCATCCAATATCAAGCCCAGAAACTTCCACTGTAGAGCAGTTGTCATCTTTCCATGTCAGAGTAACAAGCTTCTTTCTGTGACCTGTCAGCTTTCAATAAGAGAATGCGATAAATCAGTTTGTATTGTGTAAAAATCACAAGGCAGAAAATGTTACATCATAAAGCTTGCAAAGAGAACAAAGCAGTTAGATGAAATCATCAAGTTATTTCTCGTACTAAAAATTTTCATTTTTTTTTTTTTTTTTGCGCCATAGAGAACTCCCATAATTGATCAGTCACTGAATAGGCCACATGGATCTCTCTAAATCCATCAGCATTTGCTTTTGCACTGGCTCTCATTTCTTATTCTTGAACCAACTCAGTTATGCACCCGTAACAAATGAAACTATTGGAAATATCAAAATGGTCCATAAATTGATCAGTCACTGAATAGGCCACATGGATCTCGCATGGATCTCTCTAAATCCATCAGCATTTGCTTTTGCACTGGCTCTCATTTCTTATTCTTGAACCAACTCAGTTATGCACCCGTAACAAATGAAACTATTGGAAATATCAAAATGGCAAAATAGTAAACAACAAATATATAGCATTTTGCCTGGACAATAAAGTTACCATAAAGAAATGACTGGGAATTATGCTTATTTATTGAAATACTTTTAGGAAAATGAGGCTTATTTTTTTATGAAAATTTCATGAAAAAATAAGATTAAGATAAATTTTGCATCCTCCATGTGAAGGAATATCCATTTGTCCCAAGTTTCATAGATTATCCATAGATTATCCTCTAAGTTGCCCCCATCTCCACTGCTGAAATTCTTTCAGAAGAAACATTTTCCTTAAGCTTTGCTAACTCCCGCATAATTAGCCAAATGAAGAATTAGAGCATGAGGGAAAATGTGAATCACAACTGCCCAACTACTGTGTGATGTACGAAACCTACTTGTCTCAAAGTCTCTGAAAGTTAGGTTCCAAACAAAATGGAACAACAAATTATGATGTAATACATGTGTAACCGGTGAAGTTTGACAGCAATTTAAAATATAAAGGCCCTTTCAGACACCTCACCTAACAAATAATGCATTTCAAGTATGAAATGTGCGGCTGATTAAAAACAATCACAATTACAAGCTGTATAAAGTTTTTTTTTTTTTCTCTTTTAGAAAAGGTCTGTCATGAAAGTCATTCAAATGAACAAAGTGAGAGAGAGATAGAGAGAGAGAGAGACAGAGAGAGAGAGAGAGAGAGAGAGATCAAATGTGCAAAAGGACAACAATATTCAAGGATTTCACAACTCACTATGTCAGCAGTCGCACTTTTTATAGCATCATCTAGCAGCATAGTGTCAGAGCATCGCACTTTTTATAGCATCGGATGCTGATAAGGAGAAAGCATGGGCGCTGTGTGTCTGCAAGAAAAAAAGAAAACCAATAATAAAACTAACTAAGATGCAATTAAGCTTTGCTTCTGTACAATAGGTGTCTCTCTGCATTTAATTGACCTCAACTCCTCTTGCGTCACTATCTTCATAAATACCAGTCATGAACACAGATCTGACAGCTGAAACAGTGGGAATATAAATAAGAGTTCCCATCAATCTGTTGAGGGACTTTGCATGGATGAAACAACGTCAGTTAACATATGAATTTGCAATTGGATGAACGGTAATATCTAGATTGGGTTTAGAACATGTGCGTGTATTCTGCTACAAATGAAAATGCACAAGATGGTAACTGCCTGGCATAGTGTTGATTATATAATAATAATCCAATTTAATACTGTTATAACATGTGAAACTGAATAGTCTCAGTTAGTAAAGGCCAAGAAAAGATCGAACAACGCCACATAAGACCTGCCATCACCAAGATAGACATGTGTTTTTAAATCTGGGATATTTTGAACATCAACAAGATTTCAGAAGTGTTTCTGCAATTGTGTATCTCACATTTGCAAATTGAAGTACGCAACCATACAGCAATTAACTACAAGCTAATTACAGGACACATAAAACTTGATTGGAACAAGATGTTTACATAAAAGTTTAATCGTAGAAATCATCGTGCTTCAGAGTAACATAGGATCCTTAAAATCTGAATATTACCCGGATATTTGTAATTGACTTTTTAAGAGAATGTTACGCCCAGTACATTAGTAAACATGTGATACCGGTTGATTGAAAGTTAAAAAATAGGTTAAAGGGAAAGAACATTAAGAAAGTTTACAGAAGCAATCATGAGCCATCAGACCAGAGTTTTGTAGCCACTGGACCAGAAATTGTTTTTGTCCACTGTAATTCATAACAAACACTTCAGTTTCATTATCAAGGGAGAAATTAATCAAATACACATGAAAAAGTAGAGAACATGAATGAATTGTAGCCGTCGTATAGCACTCAGGATAGAGGACGCTAGATAGTGTTTGAGTCATGAAAGGAGCTAAGTAATCAAAGAGTATTGGACATAAGACAGATATTAGCAGAACTAACAACAATTTTTAAGCAAAAGAAAACTGAAATGCATAACCGCAACAAGCCGGAGCTCTTATCTAGTCCAGCTGTGCAATGATATATAATGTACAGAACGCTCCAGTTATAGGTTTAATTTGCTGTTGGTACAACTTTAACTAGACCACTAGGCCGGGTGGAGCGGTATCGACGTGAAATCAATGCATCAAGTGCCGCTGCATAGTCAATATTAGTTACTGCATTAGAAGTCACTGAGTGTATCGAAGTGATAAAAATGTATGAGGACTACGTACAGAAAAAGAGAGTGTGCACAGGTATAGTCCATGCAACA